GTAATTTGATACCTGATGACGTCATGATGACGTTACAAAGACTATAACATCTTCGTAACATGGTACAAGTTCACACTAGGTTTAATGATCATAGCGTTTACCGTTTGGATGAAATTTTGCTTTGTTTTGATTTCAGGCTAAAGTCTTTATTTTGAATTCACGTAAATTTGACCTTCCGGTAGACCCGGAAGTAAAGGCCAAGCGAGTTCACGTACCGACAAAAAATGTTTATCAATTAATGGTCTATCTGATTACGGAATACAAACATCAAATAGAGTTTCGCGTTTGTTGAGTTACAAACGCAGAGTGGTCGGGCGGACAGCCTTTTCATTATACACTGCCCAGTTAAAAAAGGATCACGAAAGAAGGATCACGAAATTAAATCCCTTCAAGTACAATCAATGTTTCAAAAAGATATCTTTAACGGTGTGATAAATTCAGTAAACATTCTATGTGCACAAAAAACAGTTATTTCTGGTTTGATTACGTCATCAGTCAAAAACGGTTAGTGAATACTGATAAAGTTCGGAGAGGATCATTTTTCATTGTAAAGTTAAAATAACGTATGAAAATATGGGAAATATAATTGTTTGTATTAATAATACCTAACTTCCGGTTTGATGACGTATTAATAACACCTAACTTCCGGTTTGATGACGTCGCAGCATTAGAGATCCAAAGGTGAACATTGTAATGGATATCATTATTTGGACTTCGGGATCAAATGATAGAATTAAATTAAAACTATGATCCTTTTCAAATTCTCCTTAAAGTAACTTCCGGTTTGATGATGTCATGAATTTGAAACCTTGCCAAGTTATCTGTGGTTAATCAGAGAATATCAAGGGGTGATTTGGTAAAATTTGGACGGATGGTTTTAAAATTAAAGAAGGGAAACTCTATTATATGTGCCGATAGGGGGCGCCCTTTCGGATGTTGACGTCATCACACTGTTTTTTTTGCGTCTTGCATTCCTCACTAAACACTTACATAATATATGTGTCTGTAGTAAAATGCTTCCACTTTTGAGTTATATTCAGTTTTTATTGCACTTCCGGTAACACCGGCAGTAAAGGTCAAGCGGTTTTGCATCCAGTAACATGAAATGTTTCTCACGGCATAGTCTACAGCCTCACGGAAAAACGAACACGATACTCTTAGTTCAAAAGATATAACGCAAACTATTTTGTCCAAATTTGCCCTTAAATCACTTGTAATTTGATACCCGATGACGTCATGATGATGTAACAATATTTATAACATCTTCGTAACATGGTACAAGTTCACACAAGGTTTTGTGATCATACCGTGAACCGTTCGGAAAAAATGTTGCTTTGTTTTGATGTCAGGCTGACGTCTTCATTTTGAAATCACCTAACTTTGACCTTCCGGTAGACCCGGAAGTAAAGGTCAAGCGAGTTCACGTACACGACAAAAACTATTAAGCGTTTAATGGTCTATCTGATTACAGAATACAAACATCATTGAATGTTTAGTTCAAGAGTTATAGGTGAAAGTAATTGGTCACTTTTTCAGATAAAATCACTTGTAATTTGACACCTGATGACGTAATCATGACGTCAGAGTAATATGCACCACTTCGGATGAGGGTCGATATATATTGAAAGTTACAAGTTCATACCATATACCGTTTAAGAGAAAACCCGCGGAGAAGTATTGTCCGGAAAAAAAAAGAAAGAAAGAAAGAAAGAAAGAAAGATTAATCGTAACAGATCCAAAGAGTGGTCGGGTTGTGCCCGACCACTCAATGATAATTTTGTTCTATAGTTTTAGGTGAAAGTATTTGGTCACTTTTTCAGCTAAAATCGCGTGTAACTTGACACCCGATGACGTCATCATGACGTCAGAGTAATATGCACCACTAGGGATGAGGGTTGATATATGCTAAAAGTTACAAGTTCATACCATATACCGTTTAGGAGAAAACCCGCGGAGAAGTATTGTCCGGAAAAAAAAGGAAAGAAAGAAGATTTATGAGAACAATTCTAGACAGTGGTCGGGTTGTGCCCGACCACTCAATTAATCGCAACAGATCCAAAGAGTGGTCGGGTTGTGCCCGACCACTCAACTAGAATGTAATTGTTTTTGCCTCTTCATGTTAGAAATGTGCAACTGTAATTATGTGTTTCCCTTTCTTTTTACCATTGAGGAAAGTGCAAAACAAAGTAAAGTGCATCCTTGGTTGTTTCCTGGATTAATAATATATTTTAAATTTTCGTAGTAATTTAAAATTTGATGTGGACTAGTTTTTATTTCTAACGAATTTTCAAATGAACGCCATGAGGAGTTTAAACGAAGAAATGTTGCGGGTACTTTCATTACGTTGGCGGATACAGCGTGTGAAGGGGGCGTGCGGAGTGGGGAGGGGGAGAAGTTACTTTCTGGGCAACCAATTTAGTTAGCGTGAATGGGATAATGCTTGCATTGCCAATGATTAATATACCTAGCATGGATTCACCAGTGTCTTTCGTACATTCCTTTACTGGAAAACAGTATGTAGGTTTACAACAGGTGGAGGAAAATGGTTTGAAAGAAAGAGGTTTGTCATCGTGGTTGTGAAATATGTGTAATATTAATTAGTTGTTTATGTCTGGCAACAGAGTAAATTATAAATCGTCTATTTAATCATGCAGCAAAGAACAGGTTTAATCAAAATTTGAGAAAAGTAAACAAAACACTAGAGGTTCGCGTTTGTTGTTACAAACGCAGAGTGGTCGGGCAGGCAATTGTTTTCATAAAACACTGCCGAGTTAAGTTATGAATATGTTGATGTAAGAACAAGGCATCACGAAATTAAATCCTTTCCATCACAATAAACTATTTTGTTTAAAAATGCATCTTTAACGGTGTGATAAATTTCCATAAACATTTTCTGTACACATACGAGTTATTTCTGGCTTGATGACGTCATTATTAAAAATCGGGAAGTGAAAACTGATTTAGTTCGGAGTGGATAAATGTTTATTGTGAAGTTAAATAACGTATGGAAATATGGAAAATATAATTGTATGTATTTATAACATCTAACTTCCGGTTTCATGACGTCACTGGTATTTGGAAGCAAAAGGTTAACATTGTTATGGATATCGTTATTTGGGCTACGAAGATATACGACATGGATCAAATGATAGAATTCAATTTAAAATATGATAGTTTTCAAATTCTCATAGATGACGTCATGAATTTGAAACCTTGCCAAGTCATCTGTGGTTAATCAAAGAATATCAAGGAGCGATTTCGTAAAATTAGAACCGATGGTCTTTAGATTATAGAAAACAAACACTATTTTGTGTGCCGCTAGGGGGCGCCCTTTCGGATGATGACGTCATCACACTTTTTTGGTGATTTGCATTTCTCACTAAACACTTGCATTATTTATATGTGTGAAGATATATTTATTGTATATATATACGAAGATATACAACAAGGATCAAATGATAGAATTTAATTTAAAATATGATCATTTTCAAATTCTCATAGAAGTAACTTCCGGTCTGATTACGTCATGAATTTGAAACCTTGCCAAGTTATCTGTGGTTAGTCAGAAAATATCACGGGGCGATTTGGTAAAATTTGAACGGATGGTTTTCAAATTAAAGAAAGCAAACAATATTGTATGTGCCACTAGGGGGTGCCCTTTTGAATAATGACGTCATCACACTGTTTTTTTTGTGTGACTGGCATTTCTCACTAAACACTTTCATGATTTATAATTTATATGTGTGTAGTAAAATGCTTCCGCTTTTGAGCTATATTCGGTTTTTATTGCACTTCCGGTAACATCGGAAGTGAAGGTCAAGCGGTTTTTTGTCCGGGAACAAGAAATGTTTTTCACGGCATAGTCTACAACCTCACGAAAAAACGAACACGATACTCTATTTAGTTCAAAAGATATAGCGCAAACTACATGTATTTCGTCAAAATTTGCCCTTAAATCACTTGTAATTTGATACCTGATGACGTCATGATAACGTAACAAAATCTATAGTATCTTCGTAACGTGGTACAAATTCACACTAGGTTTTATGATCATACCGTAAACTGTATGGAAGAAATTTTGCTTTGTTTTGATTTCAGGCTAAAGTCTTCATTTTGAATTCACCTTACTTTAACCTTCCTGTTGTCCCGGAAGAAGAGGTCAAGTGAGTTCACGTACACGAAAAGAAATGTTCATCAATTCATGGTCTATCTTATTACAGAATATAAACCCACTGATTATTTTGTTCAAGAGTTATAGGTGAAGGTAATTTGACCCTTTTCCAGCTAAAATCGCTTGTAATTTGACACCCGATGACGTCATCATGACGTCAGAGTAATATGCACCACTTCGGATGAGGGTTGTATGAAAGTTACAAGTTCATACCGTATACCGTTTAGGAGAAAACCCGCGGAGAAGTATTGTCCGGGGAAAAAAAAGAAAGAAAGAAAGATTTATTGTAACAGATCCAAAGAGTGGTCGGGTTGTGCCCGACCACTCAATTATTATTGTTCATAAGATGGGAACCAGCCATCCTGTTAGCTCGGTGGTCGAGTGTTAAGACATCTGCACTAGAAAGCAGGAGGTCATGGGTTCGAGTCCCACCCGAATGATTTCTCCCAACTTTCACTCGGGAGGTAACACACTGAGTATACAGTGTTTATACGTCGGTGAAGGGCAAAACCTAATTTGACCTACAATGCTGGTCGCATAGTATACTTTGGCATCTTTTTGGCCATGCACATTACAGCAGGATAGCAAAAATAGCGAATACCATGTGACCCACTCTTGGCCAATCAAGATACAGAGGTGTTACGGGGGAGGTGTTAGCAAAGGCAATACTTCTTCAGGGTAGTTGTTAGATGCACCTTACTCGAGAATTTGAGCAATTTTGTTGCTTTGATTTAAACCAAAAAAAAAAAATTCGCAAAAACAAAAGGTTCTACATACATTTAAAACTGTTTTCGTTAACACTGTTTTCTTCTTTCTTTTTTTCCATCAGGTACATTTTCTTCTTCCAGCTGCCGTTCCTCCCCGAACTCAATTGCCGGTCGAATGACTATGGGTTCATCTCGGGAGCCTTCCTGTCGGACGGTATGGGTCTCCGACACAAAGAGAACATGAGCAAGGAAGACATCGAGGCATTCAAGTACTGCACCTCTCAGAAAGGTAGATACACCAAGGTTCTGACAGTCATGGGTGAAATCCTGGAATTCAAAGTTATCATGGAAATTCATGGAAAAACTCATGGAAAAGTCATGGATTTTGTTTTTTTTACAAGGAGTAATAGAATATACCAAGTAAAAATGTCATTAAAAAGGACATTACGGCCTGTAATCCCCCAAAATTTCATGTTTTGGATTGTTTACTAATCCTATTTCAAAGGTCTGGTTGAAAGAAACGTTCCAGTGAAAAGCCAAAAAAAAACACCGGTCGTTTGCATCTGACATTTTGCGGCATCGCATACACATTACCAGCCGTGTTCATTCAGTATACTCGTGTGTTGTGTGTGTGGCACATACAGGTAATACACACAGCACTAATACACAAATGTGGCAGGATTCACGACTAGCACCAAACAGCTCGATGTTTGAGTGTCAACATTTTGACCCCCGGCGAAATTCGTTCTCGCAAGAATAACACAAAAAGCGCAGAGTGTTTAAAGGATGGTGGTGTGGATGTTTATATCCTACTTATAAATGCTCTTTCCAATCAATATCATTGCGTGTAAAACCCGTTTTGCAGCCTAATTGACCAACTTCCAGGACGTAATGTCCCTTTAAGCGAGTCCATTAGACACACAACTGCTCAGACAAATTTTAATTTTTCAGAGAAAATATGGTATTTAAGTAGGAAACTGTCCAGTCTCCATTCGCCAACTTTAATTTCACACTCTATATAATTTATTCAAATGTGAACCTGCAAGTATGAGCTCACTCAGTTGTACTAGCTTTCACCAATGCCACTATGCACACATCGTAAACACAAGTGTTTTTATGGTAAAACCAAATATATGCTGGTAGACCGATAATGTAGAGCTGTTCATCAACTGTTGCTACCGGTTACAGCTCTAATAGCTGATGCAAGAACATTCCAGCTGCGTATGTAATAAATGCCACAAGCATGACAAGATGGCAAAGACATATACATTGTAAAATGTTTGCCAAACAGTTGTTGTCTAGCCCTCCCAGGCCTTAGTCGTCAGTGTCAAGCAGTGATGTATCCAGTAAAGGAGGGTGGCAGCTTCCCCCCCCCCACTTTGCCTTTTTTATTTAAGAAAATGAAAGCACGAACACCTCACAACCATTAGTAGTTGCAATACCCTCCCTGCATTTAACCAGTTATACAAATGGGAAGACAAATCTGGCTCATCACTTCCCCCCTAAAAATGACCATTCTTCCCCCCCCCCCCCCCCCTCCCCACCCCTGACCCAAAACCTGGATACGCTACTAGCTCCAAGTTACCCAGTCTCTGGTCTGTTGACAGACTTTATATATGAACTGTGAACATTTCTTGGTCATTCCATTTTTCTTGTGATTTGACTTGAGATTGGATTAGTGACTGCATTTTGTGAATAACTGGGTTTTAATAGAGGTCAATTATATAATTACGTTGCTGCCAGTACAGGGGCCAATTTCACGGCGCTGCTAAGCACAAAAATTTGCTTTGCAGTCACCAAAAAAGTCTGGCTTACATGTGTAAAAGCAGGTTACCAGCCAAAACTCCACGTGATGTACATGTATATTGCTTGTGATTTGTATTCAGCTTTGTTTCCTTAGCATGAAAATCACATGGGGTTTTGGCTGATAACCTGCTTTTATAAGCCAGACTTGTTTTGTGCTAAGCAACTTTTTGTGCTTAGCAGCGCCGTGAAATTGGGCCCTGGTATACAAATAATGAATGTTAATGAGTGCAATGGTGAGAATATTTTCATGAGTTGAATGATTGAATGTTCCATTGAACGTAATTGAACGAGGCGAAGCCAAGTTGAATGGAACATTCCATCTTTCAACGAATGAAAATATTCCCACCATTGCACGAATGCAAAATATTCATTATTTGTCTTATATAACATCCAAGTAGATCTTTGTCATTCGATTGGAGGATAAAAATTTAAGAACAAGCAAAACTCACAAAATTGTAACATATCCACTACTTTTTTTCAGTTTGCCAAGGCTAACAAAGGTATGAAAAGTCAAATCATTAACAATAATGAAAATTAACATTGTAAGTTCTTAAAAAATGAGAAAAAAAATCATTAAGGCAACTGCAACTTCAAAGGCAAGTTTTGTACTGCTATAACGCATGATATGGTCTAAATAGCCCAAAGATCGTATAGCGCTGGGCCGCTGCGCGTCTTAGCGTGTACGCGGCGTGCAAAAGATCAAAAGGGATGGGACGAAAATGCATGGTGAATGGAACCAAAAATGCACGGTTATGACGTAGGCCGTGCAATGATTCGATTAATGAATGCCGCATGACCTACAATCCTCCAATCAAATGACAAGGATTTACTTCGGTGTTATATAACATAGGCTATTCCTGGATACTTGTTTTAGCAAGCATGGGCTGTCTATCAAAAAAAAATGCTGGTAGTCAAAAAGTTATTAAATTGTAATTTGGAGCAAAGTCAACCTTGGTTTACAAAATGATGTCAACATCCTCCATTATAGGTGGCCGCTCCCAGACCTATGTTCTTGAAACGCAATGGTTCTTGAGTTGGAAGTGCTGAATGCTAACACATAGCAATTGATGAAAGCTGGTGTGCAAATGAAGAGATGTTTTCATGGGATGATGTCACCTACAATGTATATTTCTCCAGGATTCTTTATGTTCTTTGTGAACTAGCCAGATATCCTTCATCATCTTTGATATTCCAACTCCGATTTTTGGGAGATATTTAAAAAAACAAACACCTTGAGGTTATATTTGAGGATTTGTAGTAAAAAGCCGTACCCTCTTTGAGTGATCTCCGTTTGCTATTACCCAGGTGTGCGGCATTGTTGATGCTGCTAGCATTCTGACTTTGGGTGTGATCCCTGGCTACATGGCATACAGGCTCCTGACTAGCACCCCTTGAACAAAGTCATTTTTGACAAAATGGGGTACTGCCAAAATAGGGATGGTTACATGTAGCTCAGTTGGTAGAGCAAGGGTACGGCAATCCGGAAGTCACAGGTTCAAACCCTGCTCCAGTCATTTGCTTTGTTCAGTTTTATAATTATTAGGCCTATACATGTAAATCCATCTAGTTAGTTTCTCCTTGTGGTTTGTTTGCCCATTAAAAATCATGTTATGATATCGTCTAGCATTTATTCAAATTGGGTACTGTGTTGACTACTAGTAGTGCACCTTGATTTCACAAGGAAATGTGTTTATCTGCAGAACATACAGTGTACCAGTGTCACTTGTGTTTGCCTATGATAGCTTTAGTCTGGATTCGTATTTGCCGTTGTGATAAACAGCCATTCTGTGATATGAGTGAGTACAAGATATCCGGGCACATTCACAAAGCATCCTTCAATGGCGAAACCATCAGCATGCTACTGTACATAGCAACTGCCCCGTAATGGATTATCTGAACAATAGCTAGCACAATGCTTTGGCCATTGAAGGGGATCTTCATGATTCCGGTAGAAGTGACAGTGTGCCCGGATTGATCTATATCAGTCCAAGGCTGTACATGTAACTGTGAAAGCAATAATCAAAATCATTCAAAAGTGTCACATACCGATACAATGGGTACATGTACATGTATATGTTCAGAAAATCTCGAATTTTATTATTTGGTTTGTTTGTGACAGGATCCTGAAAAATGAGTCTTAAGGACGTTTACTTTCCACCAAGATTAAAAAGAGCTTAGTGACCTCTTAATTTTGATATACATGTAACACAAAGTGTAACATACAGTTTTACATTCTGATGGATGCAAACATTATGTATTCGGTAAAAACCTTGAAAAGGGTGATCATTCCTGTTGATTTCCATTTCAAAATTTTTTTTTTTTCAACTGACGTGAGCCTCAAAAGTAAGCTCTTGCAACTAGTTTCATTTTTAGAGCTGTGCCATAAATTCGAGTATTTTATCCTAAAAAACATTTTTTTCTGATTCAAATATTTTGAAAATGTGAGCGGTCTAGACGAGATGATGGAAAATGTGTTTTGTGGTTTTGTTTTGTTGTTTGTCAAAAGGGGTGGGGGAAGAGGGTGGGGGAAGGGTGGGGTGGGGGATGTGTGATGATGGTGGTGATGTCGTACATGCACATACATGTACATGTAAGGGCATTTGTTGACTTTTATGTTGGCATTTAAAAAACTGACCTACACCTTTGTACCATCTTGAATCCCGATCCCCTTCCATCATGCCCATCCCCAACCCTAAATTCAGCCTCCCTTCCCGCCTTCAACAGCGAGCCATGGCAGCTTCGCCGTTTTAGTCTCAGCAATGTAAAAAGTGTTCACTTTTGAATGAGACATCGAACAAAAAATTCCACTGATTGCATTGATTTATTCCTTTACAAAATTCGACTTATTTGTGGCCTGACAATAATTTGGCTCTCGCAGGGCGGGTTCAGTCATGCGCAAAATTAAAGCCCTTTTCCAGTAGGTTGCAGACACCCAAAATCACAGAGGGGGGGGGGGGGGGGGGGGGGGATGTGTAGGGGGTAGCATCATGTGTAGGGGGGGGGTAGCATCATTTGTAATTTGTGCATTACGTTCATTTGAAGCAACAAAAGTGCTCAAAACAACTAAGTGCTGAACAACTAACCTGATGAAGTTTCAGCTCAGTGAATGCTGTATATTCCGAGAAAAAATATTTTAGGATCTCGATTTCAAATCAAAAGTTGCTGAGTCATGTTTTGAATTGGGCCTGAATTCAGCTTCTGAGACACGTTCTCACTGAGCTGATTGCAGCTACGCGATGTCGCGCACTGAACCAACGAATTATAGCAACCGCGCGCGTGTGTGCGTCTAGTCAACGCTTGTGTGCGCTTCGCTGAATAAAAAAACAATATACCAATGGACATTTGCACCGATGCGTTTTTATCGATAGAAAGGCCTTCTTTCGTTGATTTCTTCAAAATGACAGCTTGCCAGAAAGAATAATTCATAGGGGAGTTTAGTCCCATTACTATCTTTAAACCAAGTATGCTTTTCAACAATAAATATGTCAGTTACTTTTGGATAGCTGTAAATGATGGACTGTGTCTTTAAAACAAAATATACCAATTGAAAATTTGTGAGGAGAAAAAAAAATCTATTTTTTGGAAGAGCACATCTTTAAAAAGTACTTATTTACACACAGGTAACCTGACCGGGATGATCAACTACTACCGTGCCGCCGTCCGCTACCCCCCACGCATCAAGTCCACTATGACCACCCCGACCCTCATCGTCTGGGGTGACCAGGACAAAGCGCTGACCATAAAACTCCTGGACGGGACGGACAAATACGTCCAGAACCTGACCATCAAGATCGTACCGGGGGCCAGTCACTGGGTGCAGCAGGACGCGCCAGACGTGGTCAACAAGCACATGAGGGACTTCCTCAGCGGACAGTGAAAAAAAGGCTTGAGACGTACTGGTAAGAAGGAGTGATGTACTAACAGGGACGGGCTTAGTTACATGTACGTACAGGGTGAGTTAAAAAAAAAGCGGAACCGAAACCCCCCAAAACATATTTCATATTATAAAAAAGATGTAGCACCAAAAATGATAATGACTGGAAAGCTAATATCATAAACTACTTTTAGATGAAAAAATAACACAAATTAATCAATCCGTTCATAAAGTATATCACCAGTTAAACGCAATGACCCTAAAACCTCTTTCGTCAAAAAATGCGATTTTCAAGAATCGTCGTCACAAGTATCTTCAAACATCACCAGCGATAAACCCTCAGGTGAAAAGTTAAAAATATTCAACAAACTCCTTTTGAAGGCCCGGCTTTTTAAAAAAGTATTCTGTGTCATTTTCTTTGTTGTTCCAAAGAACAGTCAGAACACACAATAAATCGCTTTATTTTTGGACGAAACAGGTTTTAGGGTCATTGCGTTTAAATGATGATATTATTTGAAAGGATTGAGCAATTTCAGTATTTTTTCATCTAAAAGAAGTTTATGAAATTGGCTTTCCATTCATGATTATTTTTGGTGCTATATATTTTTGTAAATATGAAATACATTTTTTGGGGTTAGGGTTCCGCTATTTTTCCTCACCCTGTACATGAAGCGCAATGAGACAAGAGATTGTGATTTTTTCTGTGAATGAAACTTTTTTTTTACCAGGAGTGTCATAGTCAAGGTCCTTGTGATTGATCACATTGATCGGAATCATAAAGAATGAATGAATGAAATGAATGAATGAATGTCATCACCAATAATGATTAAATCAAGTTTGGCACCCAAACTCTTGGCGTTGCAACCACACAACTCTGTGCTTATGATCATTGTTCTTATATGCTTATCAGCAAAATCCAAAAGAACAAAATACATTTTGTTCGAATATGTGATGCCATCAAGCTACATGAGTCGTTTGTCGGGACTTTTCATTTGGAGATACAGATCAAAATAGGGCCACTTCATCACATCACTTCATCACGTCTCTGGGTGTTCCCACTTCCATAATTTTGAACTAAAGATGGTATCAGCATGTAGTTTCCACAGCAGTAATGCTGAGATTGTGCTCTTTTCAAATCTGTAGTAAAAAAGATTTTGACCAGGGTCGACAAAAGACTCATTTAGCTTGATCGCATCACATATGTTCTATGGTTGGCGAATATTCTTTCCTGTGTTAAGCAAAGCCATGAAATTGGGCCCACATTACAAAACCAAAGATAACAAGTTTATTTTTGAAAACAAGCAATCAGCTGTTGAAATGACCAAAAGTTAAAATTTAGACTCTAGTAGTCTTTGATGCAGGGATTATGTTTTTCAATCTGTGATAATGACTTGAGAAAGATTATGTATTTGAGATATTTATAAAAGTGCCTAATGTGTTTTTTTTTGTGCTTCCAATTGCAACCAAATCAATAGACGATATACAATAGTGTAAAAGACTTAAACATGTAGTAGCAGACAGTAAACTTAGCAGTAGGTTTGTTTGAGTGCTGTTGACTTATTTTGTATCCATTTTTACAGCTTCAAACATTTTAAGTGTAAAAACTGATTACGTGGAATGGTTACTCATGCTTTATCAATCATTTTATTGAAATTTTGATTTTTCACAAGATTAACTTGAAATGACCATAGCTTGTGTGGTATGCAGTTTATTTTACTTTGGAGTTTCAAAAAGATATTAGGTATGTGTACTTGGCTATTTAGTTGAAACAGGGGTCTATTCCGTTCAAATTTTAGTTTGGAATAAATGCTCCTTAATATTGTTAAAGTAAGCCTACCTGGTTATCCTTTAAAGATTCATGTTACCGTATCTTGTCATAAAAGTGTTGCTGCAGCAACTGTCCAGAGATAAAATACTAGCATGAGACGTATATAAGAAACACTCTTTTTTTAGAAATTGAGATTGCTGCTTTTTATTAATTGATCAAAACTGCAATAGTAGTTTATTCCAAAGTTAAATAATTTGTTGATGTCGATATTTTATGAGTGAGGTAACATGTAATTTGGTTGTTTGATTATTTTTCAAAGGTATATAATAAAATCTAACTTCGTGACTAGAAATAAGGACTAATATGGACTTTCGTTGGACTTGTTCATTATTGCCTTTGTCTGCCCTCTCTTAATAGTCTATGTCTATCACATATGAACAGATTTGCTGATTAATTAGGCAAGACCCCGCCTCTTGACCTCCTAGATTTGACCAATCAGCGGGCGCTTTCTATATCGGGTCTTCGGTCATTCACCCGTTGCGTGTCATAGACAATGGATACATGTACAAAAATTGTGTCACGCGCTCTGTATCATGTTACGCGATATCGCGCCCGGCTGTTGTTGTTTTACAAATCACTGCATTCGAATTGACCAATCAAACCATTAAGTCCTGATTTAGGAATGAAATGACGTCGCGATTTAGTAAAGTCGACTCCGATTGCATCTGCATGTCTAGACATGTCAGACGTTATGGAGTCTTGCTCCGTGGATAACGGGTGATACTCGGATTACTCTCTTAGAAAGGCGTATTGGATCATTTGCATGTATCCCAAAAGTAACCTACCAAATTATTATCAAAAAGCTTACTTAGATTCAGGATTGTATACTGGCACTAAACATCCCGTCTAATTATTCCATCTGGCTTGCTGTCATTTCAGAAGAAATCAAGAAATGTACATGCAGGTGATTTCCAACGATCAGTCAATTGACTGGTTTCTGGAATATACAATGCCATCGACGAGATCGTGTTTCGTGATCAAAGGGTTGTGCATCCACTGAGCTAAAACTCTGCTTCTTTGGATTGTTGGTGTATTTGGAAACGAACAAAATGCATGGAAAAAACCCCCCAAATGATCCTATATGCCTTTAACCAATCTCCTTATGCTGAAACGTTTCTGCGTGTTTATACTCCCTCTTTGCTGTACGCTTGGTCCAAGAAGGAGTCCAGAAATTGCTCAAAGCTGTTGACAGCCACAAAGCAGCCGGCCCTGACGGCATTCCAGCAAGGCTACTCAAGGATTATTCAGGCAGCATAGCACCAATCCTCCAGAAATGATACCAGAAATCTTTGGATACCGGAATCCTCCCAACCGACTGGAGAGCAGCAAAACGCCTATCTATAAAAAGGCGACCACTCAAACCCGGAAAATTATCGTCCCATTTCGTTAACTTCATTTTGCTGTAAAACCCTTGAACACACCATTCATTCCCATGTAATGTCACATCTTGAAGATCATTACATTTTATCAGATGAACATCATGGGTTTCGGAAGGAGAGATCGTGCGAAACTCAACTTGCAAATGTCGTAGATGACATCACCAGCTACCCAGATTCCCATAGCCAGATGGATGTCATCATAACGGATTTCTCCAAAGCATTTGATAAAGTCCCTCATCAGCGCCTATTAAGAAAACTGCAGGAAGTGGGCATCCAGGGTTCCCTGCTGAAATGTATTGAATGTTTCCTCACCACCCGCACCCAGCGAGTCGTCATAGAAAACCAGATGCTGGGTCTCATCCGTAGAAATCTGTACAGCTGTTCTCCACGGGTAAAAGAAGCAGCCTACAAAACCCTTGTTCTCCCACGCTTGGAATATTGTGCTAGTATCTGGGTCCCATCTCATAAAAAACACTCATCCCAAATCGAGGCAGTCCAGCGCAGAGCCGCTAGATTTGTGACAAACCAATACACCAAGACCGACAGTGTTTCCTCCATGATTTCAAGGCTAAGTTGGAGACCTCTAGAGGAACGCAGAATGGTTGCACACCTGTCTTTGCTATACAAATCCATACATCACAGAGCAGCAATACATTCTGGTGTCCTATTGTGTTGGGTTTTTGCAAGACATCTAAAACGGAAATATTCATAAAACTGTAAGCAAAACTACTCCTTATTTAAGATTTAATTGTTCCAAAATATTGTTTAAAAATAAATACTTCAGGATATAACAGATGGTATTGTGCAGTTTTTGTCGTCATAGATGAAGTATTTACCCGGGAAATAAACGTCAAATTTCGAGGAGAACACCGTTTACCCAAATTTCGTTTTCAATTAGGCTTTTATTAAAAAGTTTTAGAGAGATAAGATGCCAAACCGATAAAACAAATGCGACATTTCATTGTTCATCTTAAAACTAAAGATATTGTGCTCGGCATTACCATGGTTATGTAGTTATTACTTATCAGAATTCAATAATAAAGACCAAAAACGTAGATCATGAATATTCAATAATATAATTCGTTAGCTTGACAGACTTCGAGGCCAGATCGGGCGCAGAGCCTTGCAAATCTGAAAGCCACCGCGCGCAGTGGTCTTTTGTTGAAAAGTATTCATGGTATTTGCCACCAGTACGGGCCGTTATCACGCGTCTAACCAGGAGTTGGGCCGAGTCGTTAATCCTTGTGTGTAGGATCCGTGGTCTGAGTATCCTGTATAACGTCTGATATAGAGACATGCAGATAATGCCAGCCAATCGGAGTCAGCTTGACTAAATCGTGACGTCATTTTATTCCCAAATCGGGACTAAAGGTCTGATTGGTCGATTCGAATGCAGTGTTTTGTAATGCAACAAGAGCCGGGCGCATTATCGCGTTCCAATATGGTTTCAATTATGCCCTTTTCCCCGTTCGATCTTTGATCGACTATACATGTAGATGTAAATATCCTAATGTTAAGATCACCGGATCACCAGATCACCGGTACGTTTTCACCGTTGCGGAGACCGCACCGCAACATTAACCCGTACACATAACATGTCCGATTCCTCTATAATCGGTCACGTGATGATCTGTCACATGATGACCAGTCACAACAGCCGTCAATTTTTGAATCATCTGACTTCCTTCGTGAATCTGATTGGTTAACATAAATGATGCGTCCGGTAAATTCGGGCTGCTGCCCGCACCCTTTCCCGGCGACATCGGATCCGGTGAAATCGGATGCGAAAAATATCAAACATCATTTATTTCATCCGATCGCCTTGTGTACGGTCAGATCGGTCCGATTTTTCAGCGCACACCACCTCTCCGATTTGTACGTCAGATGGCCCGATGATCCGATGTGAACCGTAAAATCGGAAGCGTGTGCGGGGGGGGGGGGGGGGGCTTCGGGTTTGGCTCAAGAGGGGGGGGGGGGGGGTTAACAGGCGTCTGATATTGCTTCTCCTGATATTTTCCTTTTTTGGCGGCCCCGTAGATCACCACTGATATTTCAAGAACAGTTGAGGGTGAAATCATCAGGCTCCAATAAGGAAGTGGGTGTGCAGTTCGGATTGTCGGAAGTATATGACGGTGTTATGAACCGATGTCTTCCATTCTAATCAGTTTGTTTAATGATCAAAGTTTACAAAGTTATTAGTTTCTGGGCAGCCCTCCACACCGCATGATCTAACGTGTGTGATGGCACTTATCATGAAAGTTACTTGGCTTACAGTTCAGTTCTTGATACTGATAGCCTTTGTGTATAGGATAGGGGAATGACGTCTGGGCTACCCCCAAGCGCCAGGTGGTCTTCAACTTGTATTCTGTGACGTCTTTCTTTCCTTTTCCGTTTTCTCTTGTCCCGAAACTCTTTAACTGCCGTGGACACGCCGTTGAAAGTAATGGAGATAATGCTGAGTCCCACCAGAATGTACAAGGCAAAGATCACTTTGAGTGCGTACACGTAGCCCGTGTAGGGCGAGCTTCGACGGGGCTGCTCGTCTCCGAAGCCGATGGTGCTGAGCGAGATAAAGCTGTGGTACTGCGCCGTCAGGAACGGCCAGCCCTCAGTCTGCATCAGCGTCAGGCTCGGTATGACGGCCAGGAAGATCCACAGCGAGGTGAGTGGCATGATGAGGTACATACACCGGCGGGCTGCACGGTGCTTGAGATTGGCCAGGCAGTGGAACAGCGTCACCCAGGCTGCACGGAACGTCTGACCCACCACCATGAGCATGTAGTAGCAGAGCGGGACTCCCAGGGCTGCGTATACCGTACAGATGAGCTGGCCTCCCATGGTCCTGGGCACTAAATCTCCATAACCTGAAAAGGGATCGGTAAAAGCAGAGATGCAATAAATCACATTCAAGCTCAGTCCTTCCATACATAATAGGTCTCTATGCGTATAGTAACATTACTGCAGCTCGATATAAGGCCAGGCACTTAAAGATGCGTGCCCCGTGCTTTAAAAGAGAAAGGAGTTTTTTCCAAACGAATTTTCAATTTGTATGTTTTGTCTTAACGACCCCCCCCCCCCAATTTTGGGCGTATGCAGCCCTCTGGAAAAGGGCTTTCATTTTTGCGCACAAATGAACCCGCCCTGCGAGAGCCGAATTATTGTCGGACTGTTAATGATCCTATTCAGTTACTAAACGTTGATGGATTTTATCGTTCGATGTCTAATTCAAAAGGTAATAACTTTTTCAATAGCAACTAAGTATCGAACGTCAGTGAAGAGCATGGGGAGAGCGAGCTTAATACTCACCTATAGTTGTGACAACTGACAAGGAGAAGGCCATGGAGTCGGCCAGGTTCCACACAGGTTGGGCCCCTTTGGACGGAACAGCATCAGCATGAAAAGCGTCCCGTTCCCACGCGGCATTTGCCGCCTTGAGCACTGCCCTGACACCGCCCGTAGCCACGCCGCAGTTCCGGTGCGCATCGGTGAAGTTATGAATCGCTCGGAAGAGCTCTGCTCGTGATTTCCGGAGCGAGTTCTTGAGCGTCTCGGCCTCGATAGCCTGGAAGGTCAGCGCCCCCAGCAACAAGTAGGCATAGAAACAGAGGCTCAAGATGATTGTCTTGACCAGCCACCGGGTCCTTGTTTTCGTCAAAGCTGTCATCGTTAACTACATAAACAATATCAGTTCTACTTGCTGTCCTCGATGCAAACCTATTAAACTTCGGTCTAAGCATGGGCTATAAAACAGATAGCTCCATTGTACAGCTTTGCTAGCAAACAACCATAAATTTTCTCCCGTCCCTCTGGAATCAATCCATTTTGCTCCATGCGCTACTTAAATAAAAGGCTATCGTTCGTTTTATTCAGCACACCTCTGCTGGATAAAGTTGTCTCATCAAAAGTTCGGCCACATGAAGTCTGTAACTCCGCTCCGTCAGTTTTGTAATGAAAAAAAAGGCCCAATAAATCTCTCCGGCATAAAAATCAAAAAGTCCGAGTGCACCACATAACATTAACTATATATCAAGTTACAGTAGGTTATACCCAACTTTCTGGGTCTGCCAACTTTGAGTGGTCGTCATCATTCGTGTAGGCATAGGCCTATACGTCTCAAATACACATCAGCCCTCAACCTAACCACTGCCGTTCATCCAGACAGCGGTTTTATACTTCGCCGTGTCTAGTGATGCTGCCATAAAAAACCTCTCAACGACAAGAATTATTACCGACTGATCGAGTTGTAGGTCACAGCCTCAAGAGCTCTGACTCAATATAGCTGGTACAAATATCCTTCATATAAAATGCATGGATGTCTATTTCACATCACAAACGATGTGATCTTTGACATATAGTTTGAGTGACAACCTTGGCTTTCTGCTGTTCTCATGCATGCACCGTTGCATGATATACCTAGACGTGCAGGAACAAGACTATTCCAATATCTTTCCCACGTTCTACATCGCTTTGGAATTCCTTACCCGATATACTGTTGCCGTACAACCTACGATTTACTTGCTGGTACTCCATTGACAATTAGTCGCCTATGCAAGTATGACTTGCCACTCTGCAAATACATATACATGTAGTCGTTTTAATGGTTTTTCTGTTACCTTTTGCTTGCTTTCTAGTTTTGCGTATCCTGTCAAGAACATGCGCTTAAAATGCGGGTAATTCAGCTAAGTTCTCATTGGTAAAGTACAAGGTCGGTCTAAATTATACGATGGCAATTATACGATTGTGGAGTGTCATGGCCTATAGTGGTTAAGAGCACCGGACTCATGCTCTGGTGTTTCAGAGGCAACAGTGGCGTGGGTTCGAGCCCGGACCCTGACACTTGTGCCCTTAAGCAAGGCACTTAACCATTATTGCTTCGTCCTTCGGTTGGGACGTTAAGCCGGAGGTCCCGTGTGTTGTATAAGGCCTAACGCACGTAAAAGAACACAGTAACACTTATCGCTAAGAGAAGGGTTTGCCCCGGTGTTCCTGCCCTCCTAGTTATATACTCCCTTGTGGAAGTCCTTAGGAGAAGAACCAACCAAGTACCAACCAAGCAAGAGTAAAAATGGTTTTAGTTGATTGATACTTTCTTCCATAGGACATCGAAGCAATGAATGTGCTGGCAATTACCCGACTACCCATATAGTCGCATTAGGATAGTCCTGTACTTTTAGAACGTCTCGCCATTGGTTTGCCTGTGATCCAGTATGACCATGTAGTATGTATATAGGTAACTCTTCCAGTTATGGTTTGCTGGAACCGGAAGGGCATACTGGAATGACACTTGTCCATTAAAGGATGTAAATACTGTCCACTTAATATGGTTTGCCTGTTTCATCGATCGAGCATCGGTGCACTTACCACATTGCCCATATTGTTTGCTACAGGCCCAGAACTGTTCCGCCGCGCCGTAACAGGCCCAGAACTGTCCAGCTTTGAAGATATTCTGTACCCTATTGCCATTATGCGAGAATTAATGTATTCAGGCTTCTGGTCCGTTTTGCCCGGTTTGCCGTTATGGTTTATCTTTACTGATCTAGAACTGGCCCGGTCAAGGCTCTGTATAACGCCTGCCCATATGGCCTTCAAGACCTATTTAATTCAGGCCTTGTTCCGTTGGTCTGCAACTACTGTTTGAAACGGTCCTCTGTAGTAAGTTTGTCTGCTTAGTCTGGAGAGTGTTATATTACAGGGACAAAGGAAAGACATTTATTCAATTCGGGTCGTTGTTCCGTTTTACCGTAATGAGTTATCTTTGCTGATCTAGAACACAATGGCCCACTTCAGGCTCTATACCGTTTGCCATTATGGTCTGCAAGACATATTCAGGCTTTGATCCGTATTGCCGTGATAGTGTATCTTTACTGATCTAGAATTAGCCCGTTTTAGACTCTGTATCGTTTGTCATTAAAGTCTCCTGTGTTAGCACCTACTCAATTCAGACTCTGTTCCGTTTTACGTTACCTTTACCGAGTACCTATGAATTGACCCGCTGCACGCTCTTCGCCGTTTGCCGTTCATGGTCTGTAAGCACGGCACCTATACGATTCGGGCTTTGTTACGTTTTGCCGTTATGGTTTATCTTCATACTGCTCTAGAACTGGCCCAGTTCAGGCTCTGTACCGTTTGCTGTTAGGGTGTGCAAATGCTGGCACCTATTCAATTCAGGCAGAGCACTTCGATGGCTTGGAGATGCAGGGGCGATGATGACAGTTGCCACTGCTGCGACCATCTGTTGACAGTCCATTTGGATGCTGTTGTCTTGGTGCGTGCCTAGCCTGTTGGAGCAGTGACTGTGTCTCGGGTGCGAATGGGTGCCTTGATTGCTTCTAATTCAGTGATGACCTGATGGAGTATTGGTGGTCTGGGTTGAGCGCACGGCGAGCCAATGCCATTACGTGGGATTTCCTTCTCAGGGCAGCTGGCGGGATTCCTGCTAGAACTGGGAGCTGTTCCAGCTGTGGTTGGTCGCAGGCAGCCAGTGAAGACACGGAGCGTTTTGTGTAGGCTTTCTCCCACCAGGTGTGTGTGAACACTCCTAGACCATAACAGGTGCACAAGTATTCAACGGGAGCGTAGACCAGGGCCAGGGCGGAAGTGTGTATAGTGTAGACTCCGATCGCCCCTGTGTGGCTCCACATGGATTCTACTGGATCCGTTACCACGTATTGGATCAAGATCAAGAAGTCAGTAGCCCAGTACCGTCATTTTGACTGGGTATACAACGTTTTCTCTTGCTGTGTTTTATTACATTTACTCACATAAAAAAGGTGTTTCTTATATTTGTTTTAGGGTATATAATTACCTCGGGACACATCTTAAATGTAGTTTATTCACACCCATACATTCTGGAGATAGTTCGACCATCTTCAATCGTTGTTCGTCAGTTCGTTGAAACAGCATCAACCCATGACGGTGGTCTGCCCATGAACCATTGCAGTTTTATTCGAATCCACACTCTAAAAACAACTTAGTCAAAATATTGACTGGTTTTCCTTGTTTTGGAAAATTGACGAGGAATAAAGTTCAACATGCAAAGTTTCATACTAAGATTAGAAAAAGTAGTTGGGTTTGACTCCAATTTCAGATCTTTGCATAACTCTTTTTCCAAAGGCTAGTAAGATTGGAAAAAAAATCTAGTAAGATTGACTGATTTTTATTTGCACCCAGCTTACCCTGAATGACTGGTCCAATTTAACTGGTTTCTAGTCAAGTCTGACCATTTTTTTTTTTTTTTAGAGTGCACCTGTACGCTATTAGACATCAATGAACGAACAACCACCGTAAAATAGAGGCTACCTCTAAATTACTTGGCCATAGCCACGCAGTAACACTTTAGTCTTCGACTAAAACTTCTCACTGGCTTAACACCATTAACAAGCCTATAATGTCGAACCAAATTGATATATTCATAACGTTTGCTTCACGTTGCAAATTTTGCAGCTCGGCCGAGCTGTGTTGTTGCCGGCCCGGCCGTAACCAATTTCTTTTTCGGACGCGGGCTAATGACATCACGAACCTCCTGCTCCTTCCTCTCTGCTGTACGTTAACGCTTGTCTAATGACTTCAGCGATGTAAAAACACATTAGGTATGCGGTCCGAAATAGTATACTACACTCGTCCAGCAATCGTTGACTCAATGACGGATCTTCATAATGAAACGTCCCCTAAATAAATCTAAGTGAAAGCCTGAAAACGGTGCCTGTGTGAGTTTGTGCCATAATGTTTGTAAAGGTTCGGGGCAGGATTTTTACCTTAATTGATTCCAGCCTAGGCATGTGATTTTCATTTAATTATTTTTTTTTTTTTAATGCTCTTTCCTGCTTCATTAATCAGCCGATTTGGGATTCATCAATATAACAGCGATGAAAACGTAAAAAAAAAAAAAAAGCAAGTGCGTTCGATTTGAGATTTCTTGACAGATACCGTTGCAAGTTCCATATCCTAGTTGGTCAGGAGCTTTTTTAACTGTTGAATAGGGACAACGAACCCCGTCCAGAGTCTGGGCCAGCTCCGAGTTCAATGAACTCGATTTTGCCCAGTTCGAAGCTTGAATCGATGGATTTACTGCAGTGAGTAGACGATGACGCCTCGTCTCCCCGTCTGTCTGCCCTAGATTGCTCCTCCTGATTCGCCTCCTCCTTCCGGACTTGCTCTCGGTACTCGTTCACACCTTTGTAGATAACGGAGACGATACTTAGGCAGAGCAGGTCGTAAAGCACCGAGAGTGCATGCTTAACCCATTCCATTTCCTCCGATTCTTGCATTTGCCGCTTGCGGGACAGGTCCCCCAGGCCCACAGTGCTTAGGACCATGAAGCAGTAATACTGCGAGGTGAAAAAGTCCCATCCTTGGTGCGTGGACACGAGGATAGCTGGGAAGTCGGACAGGACTAGATGCAAGACGATCAGGGTACAGGAAACTCCCAGGGCCACGCGAATGGTTCGTTGCCGTATACGGGAGAAGAGATGGCGCAGTTTCCTCCACGTGAAATAAAAGGTGTCCCCCACTGCGGACAGCATTAAGTAGCAAAGGGGGACACCGATAGCGGCGTAGACCATGGCGAATAGACGACCTTTAGATGTCCTGGGCACCATCACTCCTTCACCTGCATGCAAACGGAAACAAATTATGCAGCTTGAAGCAACGTATATGATCATTTGCACTTACCTGACCCAAACTTTGCTCAGAGTAAAGATACGAATGGTACAAAATATCCTGTGGAATTATGCCTCCCAGTATTGTTCGGAAGTAAACAAGCCCACCACACACCTGTCAAATTTTACCGGTTCAAATTGGATCAACGGTATGGTTTTTTCCCCCCTTGCATCGTTTCGGAGACAGCGACGTTAACCCGCACACATGCCCGATTCCGTTCTATAATCGGCCACATGATGTCCACTCACGTGATGACCACTCACAATGATGACAAAAGACAGTCGTCCATTTTGAATCATGTGACTTCCTCCGTGAATCTGATTGGTTAAGTTAACGTAAATATTGCCTCAGGTGAAATGGGGTGCTGCTCGCACACCTTTTCGGTGACATAGGATCTGGTGAAATCGGATGCGAAAAATGATGACAAAAGACAGTCGTCCATTTTGAATCATGTGACTTCCTCCGTGAATCTGATTGGTTAAGTTAACGTAAATATTGCCTCAGGTGAAATGGGATGCTGCTCGCACACCTTTTCGGTGACATAGGATCTGGTGAAATCGGATGCGAAAAAAAAACAACATGTTGGATTCCATGCGGTCGCTCGGTGTACGGTCAGATCGGTCCGATGTTTCAGTGCACACCTCCGTACGATCGCCCGATGGTCGGTAAACCGGTAAAAAAAAAGGTGTGCGACGGGCTTTAGATGATTTTTATACCGCCCTCATTACTTAGACCGTCAGATTGCTTTATGAGAATGTGAATCATGATGTCCCGTATGCCAGTGATTAGGAATCGCATCACGAAAGGGCATAGTTCGAAATATGCAACATAAAGGGTAAAAAGTGTGCATAGATTTTCTTTGTTAACTGTCGTATCGTTTTTCGTATTTCGGTGGGTTTTTTTTATTTTTCAAAACACGATCTCATCGCATGCAAACTCTGAACCGATATTAATACATCTTGTATCAGGATTAAATTTGCTCGTGCGTGAATTGCTCACCTCTCACCACTGCAGTGTGGCCCTGGTTCGATTCCCGGCTCAGAGCATAATGTAAGTAGAGTTGTATTTTTTAAAGGCTGAAAGGTTTGGATTGAAATTTGCGTTTCCGAGTTGGATTATATCCAACGGGTACTGCTGCAGCAGCTGCATGTATTTCCACGTCAAACTGAATGAGTATGTTTTGGGCTAAGTTGAAATAATTGTATTTGATGACAGAAGCACGGACAGCTTTATATTGTTTCGTTCATAAAGGAGGGAAATAATTTTGATCACTGGCGAGCAGGACGTACAATTTTATTGTTTGCTTTTCCTCTTTAAACTTCTATAATAAACTTCTGGTCAACTGGATTTTTGAATAAATTTACGCATTCTCTGTAACATAATAGACCGTTCTACTGAATCTAGTTCTCAAGTGCTGGATTTTGGTACGGAATAAATTATTGACCGTTGGTTAACAATATATATTTACCGATAGTAGTCACGACTTCGAATGCAAAAACAAAGGCATTCGAAAATGTCCAGATGTCCTGGACGCCCCTGGCCGGATGAGCGTGAGACAGCAACACTCCATTCCCATAAGCCGTGGCTACAGAGTTCTCCAAAAAGTCCCGCAGACGATCCTCCACCATACCGCAGTGGCTGTGGTTGGCCAGGAAGCCGGCGACTTGACGGGTAAGCTCCTTATGGGTTGCCGTGGGTTGCTGGTGCTCCAGAGCCATGAAAGTGCAGCCGCCTAGGAAGATGTACCCGCAGGTAGAGGCGAGGAGCAGGAGCGATTTCACCCAGGCTTTCATGGCAGAGCTACAGATGCTTGCCTTCCCAATCTGCGGATAATAATTCGGTTGAAAAGGCCTTCGGCAGCCCCTGACGATTGCTTCGCCGGATAACTAAAGTGTTTTCAAACGGTAATCACTGAACTGCGAGACTGTCTAGGGTAACATTTGTTTCTCGGATTTGTCGACCTATTTCGATGTCGCAGTCGACCGATGAATACTTGGCCTGAAATGTGAGTAACTGCAGAGGTATTTTAGGACGTGTTTCAACCGAACGACACAATATTGATATACATTTCACCAGCCGCACATTTTTATTGACTTTACACAACACAGTGCACAGTTATAATTAATTCCGCATACGTGCCACCACACTCATTGGGATTAGCCTCTTAATGCAGGATATAACAAACATGCTGGTATAGGTGACATTAGTTTATATTATGCCGAGCAAAGAATTTGCATACGTATTGCATAACACTCAAGGATTCCTGGATCTAAACCGGGTTGATTTAGGGAAGTATTTTTTATGTACTGGTCAGATATTTATACTCAGTATTCGGCCCTATTAGGGGAGTGTGGCCTATAGTGGTGACGGTTCTTGACTCATTATCAGAGGGCCAGGGGTTCGAATCCAGCTGCTGAGACATGTTGTGTCCTTGGGCCGGCCACTTCGACCCACTTGCCTCTCTCCACCCAGAAGTATAAATGGGTAAATGATTCGGCCGAGCTGTGTTAATTGCCGGCCCGCCCGGCCTTAATCAATTTCGTTTCGGACGGCGGGGCTAATGCCATCACGAACCTCCTGCTCCTTGCTCTCTGCAAAAACACATGATGTATCTGGTGCAAAATAGTATTCTGCACTCGTCCACCAATCGTCGACTCAATTAATGACGGAACTTAATGATGAAACGTCTCCTAAATAAAAGTGAAAACCGGAAAACGGTGTCTGTGTGAGTTTGTGGTATAAGTTTGTAAAGGTTTGGGGCATGCTATTTTGATTCCAGCCTAGGCATGTGATTGTCATATTTTTTTTTAAAATGCTATTCCTTGCTCAATATATCGGCCGATTTGGGATGTATCAATAACAGCGATTAAAACGTAAAAAACCACAAAAGCAAGTTTGTTCGGTTTGAGATTTCTTGACAGATAACGGTGCAAGTTCCATATCCTAGTTGGTCAGGATCTTTTTTTAACTGTTGATTAGGGATAACGAACCCAGTCCAGAGTCTGGGACATCTCCAAGTTCATTGGACTAGATTTTGCCCAGTTCGAAGCTCAGATCGATGGGCTTACACTGCCGTGAGCAGACGATGACGCCTCGTCTCCCCGTCTGTCTGCCCAACATTGTTCCTCCTGATTTGCCTCCTCCTTCCGGGTGCGCACGTGCTCCCTGTACTCGTTCATACCTTTGAAGAGGACGGAGACGATACTGAGGCAGAGCAGGTCGTACAGCACACAGAGTACAGTCCAGGCCCATTCCATTTCCTCCGAGTCTTCCATTTTCCGCTTGCGGGAATAGTCCCCCAGGCCCACGGTGCTTAGGACCATGAAGCAGTAATACTGCGAGGTGAAAAAGTCCCATCCTTCGTGATAGGACACGATGAAAGCTGGGATAACGGTCAGGACTAGGTGCAAGACGATCAGGGTACAGGTTACTCCCAGGGCCACGCGAATGGTTCGTTGCCGTATACGGGAGAAGAGACGGCGCAGTTTCCTCCACATGAATAAAAAGGTGTCCCCCACTGCGGACAGCATTAAGTAGCAAAGGGGAACACCGATAGCGGCGTAGGCCATGGCGAATAGACGACCTTCAAATGTCCTGGGCACCAGCACTCCTTCACCTGCATGCAAACGGAAACAAAATATGCAGCTTGAAGCAACGTATATGATCATTTGCAATCACCTGACCCAAACTTTGCTCAGAGTAAAGATACGAATGGTACAAAATATCCTGTGGAATTATTCCGCCCAGTATTGTTCGGAAGTAAACAAGCCCACCGCACACATGTCCGATTTTACCGGTTTACCATCCGGGTGACCATTATTGAGTCACCCGGTACGGTTGTTCCCCATCGTTTCGGAGACAGTGACATTAACCCGCACAAATGCCCGATTCTGTTCAATAATCGGTCAAAAAGATGTCCACTCACATGATGACCACCTACAATGATGACAAAATGACAACCGTCAATTTTGAGTCAAGTGACTTCCTTCGTGAATCTGATTGGTTAAGTTAGCGTAACTATTGCCTTCGGCGGGTGAAAGGGGATGCTGCTCGCACACTTTTCCGGTGTCAGCGGATCCGGTGAAATCGGATGCGAAAAAATATCACACGTTTGATTTCATATGATCGCTCAGTGTACGGTCAGATCGGTCCGATTTTGCAGCGCATGCAACTCCGTGCGAACGCCCGAAGATCGGTGAACCGTAAAACGAAATATGTGTGCGACAGGCTTTAGATTATTTTTTATACCGCGCTCATTATTCAGACCGTGAGATTGTTCCATGTGAATGTGAATCATGATGTCCCCTATGCTGATTAAGGTTCGTATGACGAAAGGGCATAGTTCGAAATATGCAGCAGAACTTAATGTGGTAAAAGATGTTGTGCAAAGATTTCTTTGTTAACCGTCGTATCGTTTTCCCTGTTTCGTTTTCTTTTTAGTTTTCAAGACATGATCTCGTCGCATGCGCCCCTCTCATCTTGCATGAGGATTATAAAGGGAAGATTTGCTTTTTGTTAATTCTTTTTTCCCCCTCTCAGCACTGTGGCCCGGGTTCGATTCCCGGCTCGGACCAGATGTGAGTGGAGCTGTTTGTTGATTCTCTCTTGTGCCACGAGCTAGGTTTTCTGCGGGCTCTTCGGTTTTCCTCCCTCCACAAAAATCAACACTTTCGATCCCTGGCTGTGCTCCGTGGTCAGACACGGCTCGTATGGCGGCAGCCTAAGGCACCTTTACATGTCTTCGGCTCAACCACGTTTTGGCCGCGTCCCCGCGTCCTTCGCAATTCAGATTCTCTGCTGCGAGTATAGGAATAACCCATTGTACAGTGTGAGCTCACTAGTTTGAGACAAACAGCCATGCATGATTGGGTGACTGCTCTATGTTCCGACACCCCTCTGTTCCGACACCCCTCTGTTCCGACAGTGTTTTAGTACACTTTTGTTTACCCTGGCCGGTTTGGAATGTTATATTGTTTTTGTTTTCTGTCCCTCTATCTCCTCTCCCCTGTCAAACTGTCCACCCTCCCTTCCCTCCCCCCTCCCCCGACCCATTTCTACTCGCATTCTTCAGTCTTGTCTGGTCTTACTTTTCAATTTCCAATTTTTGTTTACTTTTTACTTTTTATTTGCTTTGTCATTGTACTTTGGTTCATTTGTTGGCCGAATAAATAATAATAATAATAATAATACTCCCGGTTAGGGTTAGAGTTAGGGGTAGGAATAGTATATGCAGTCGGAACATCATAGGGTGTCGGAACATAGGGGTATCGGAACATAGGGGTGTCGGAACATACAGGTGTAACCCACGATTATAGGGGTTTTGTATTTTAAACTGGAATGCCATGCTAACGCACGTAAAAAGTCCCCGCTGGCCCCATCTTCAATGATTGTTTTCGATCTTTCGAACGATACCGGAATACTTTCACATTGTTTTTGATGCGAGCAAGATTTTCCCATTAAATCGATAAGTATGTTACCGTACTGGCTAATTACCAGTGTCCCCTACGTGAATTTACGTTTCCCGTTAAGTACATGAATTGTACACCATGATGTCAAAAGGGTACCGCAGCTGTATAACGTCAAACTGATTGAGTGTGTTTACGGCAAATTGGAAATAATTTTATTTCATGACAGAAGTACGGACATATATATTTTCTTTTATAAAGGAGGGAAAATAATGTCTCATCCGAGAAGAACGTGCAACTGTTTTTTTTTTTTTTTACAAACTTCTAATAAACTTCTGATGAACTGGATTTTTTAAATAAACACATTGTCTGATGACATTTTACCATGGAAGACCGTTTGACTCACTTTAGTTCTCAATGCTGGATTTTGATAAGAAATACAATTATTGACTGTTATTAGTAAAAAGAGTATATATTTACCGATAGTCGTCACGACTTCGAAAGCGAAAACAAGAGCGTGCGAAAATGTCCAGATGTCCTGCACGCCACTGGCCGGATGAGCGTGAGACAGCATCACTCCATTCCCATTAGCCGTGGCTACAGAGTTCTCCAAAAAGTCCCGCAGACGATCCTCCACCACACCGCAGCGGCTGTGGTTGGCCAGGAAGCCGGCGACTTGACGGATTAGCTTCTGATGGTTTTCCACAGATTGCTTGTGCTCCAGAGCCACAAAGATGTAGCCACCTAGGAAGACGTACCCGCAGGTAGTGGCGAGGAGCAGGAGTGATTTCACACTGGCTTTCATGGCAGCATTGCTTATCGATCCGCGGATGATATACCCCGGTTGAGATTGCCTTCGACAGCCCCTGACGATTGCTTCGCCGAATAATTACCAAGGTTTTTTGTCAATTATAACAGTAACCACTGACCTGCGACACTGTCGAGGGTAACATTTTCAGATTTGTCGACCTGTTTTGATGTCGCTGTCGACCGATGAATACTCAGCCAGATATTTGAATAACTGTAGGAGTATTTATTTGACGTGTTTCAACCGAAGAACACCATATTGATACATTTCACCATCCGCATTTTATTGACTTTACCCAACACAGTGCACAGTTATAATTAGTTCTGCATACGTGCCACCATCCACACTCATTGCAATGCGCCTCTTAATGCAAGGTATAAACATGCTGGTACATGTAGTTGACATTAATTATGCCCAGCAAAGTGAATGCATACGTATTGCATAATACTCAATGTTTCCTCGATCTAAGGAAGTATTTGTATGTACTGGCCAAGGACCTATTAGGGGAGTGTGGCCTATAGTGGTTACGATAAGAGGATCAGGGTTTCGAATCCAGCTGCTGGTCCTTGGGCAAGCTACTTCACCCCTCTTGCCTCTCTCCACCCAGGAGTATAAAGCTGGGGAGTAACCTGCGAGGGGCTAAAATCACAACCAGTGGGAGTTAGTACCAATATTCTTAGTCATTTCATGCTATTGAAACCGGAGATAAACGCCGGCCTGATGGACCACATTTGCTCGAGACAGACTTCACTTGTACTTAGGCCCTATTATTCTGGATTTTACCCCAGACATCGCACACCAACACAAATATTATAAATGTAACGCACAGGCAGGCACCAGACTATTCCTCATTTGCATACGTGTGTTACAACTGATAATGTAGTAACCAACGGATAACGTATCACCAACCGATAATGTCACACTAATTGACCGATATTGTATCAATAGCCGATAATGTAACAGACATTGACCGATAGTGTAGTAAAATGTACACTATCAGTCTATGTTTTGTTACATTATCGGCCAGGACCGATAATGTTACCACAATTGACTAATAGTGTAGTACAGTTTACTACACTATCGGTCAATTTTTGTTACATTATCGGTTAGTGATACAATATCGGTCAATTTGTGTGACATTATTGGTCAGTGATACGTTATCCGTTGGTTACTACATTATCAGTTGTAACATACGTGTTCAAAAAATGTGTACATGCTAATGATCCAATACCTGGGTGAGAGATAGGGTAGTGGTGGGCGCGTACTGCTCGACACTCTTGGAACGAGGTTGGAAAAGCCCAGCCCTAGGCCTCATACAGTGCATACTTGAGGCACAATGTCTACATTGGACATTAAGATTTGAAATATTGAATGTATAAAGCCTTGAATTAATGAGCTCAAAAGTTTTCAAAACTAGCAACAAGCAAAACAGCTATTTTGTTGGTATAAATAAAAACAAAACATTTTACATCCGGATATACCCCAGCTATCACGAACATATTCCAGTGACAACGAAACGAATTCGGTAAACTTCGGACATTTTCGGAAACGTGTCAGGTTCCTGCACGTATTGGTCACGTGCCGTGCGTCCACCTCAGTGATTTCATTTAGATTTGTCAGAATACTCCGCATACTTTGGTCCGGGAACCGTACTATAAAGGAGCTTATAATTACATTGGCCGGTACGATGGTGCTTATATTTACAGAAATTATATATAATAGCTCGAAAATCGCTTTTTGTTTTTAATCCAAACGGACAATTCTACCTATATGCCACTTTTTTGCACATGATTGAACCGTTACATGCACAATGACATTGTTATTGCCGCCCATAACAATTAACGGTCTGTGACTGGGCACTTCAGGCTTCGCACGATTTCCTTACACTTACGCTTACGCTTACGCTTAGGGGCCTTGCGTCGACAATTTTTAACATCTCCTCGTGAACGGTTAAGTCTAAGTTTTTTCTGACCTGACCATTATTATAGCGCCCTCTGTCTGTGGGTAGCTTCCAGAATGGCGCGCGTTTTTGTGTTGGGAACGAATGTGCAAACACAGTTCTGAGTTAAGACTAGCACACAAGGCAGTGTTCAGATCCCTCAAGCGTAGACCCTGGGCGCCCTCTACAGTTCCTGAGCGGACTGAGTATACTTAGCCCTTAGGGTTGCAGACCAGTAAAAAATAATCTGCCATAATCCTCAGTGATAATTCTATCAAATTAAAGCCTGTTTCATCATCTTTCATTTTCTGTTTAATCTTTTTTTTTTGGGGGGGGGGTTAAATCAGTGACTTTTGGGAGAGAATTCCATCCGAAGAGGATTACCCCTAAATGTAGTCTTGTAGCCCACCGCCATTTTGAGAAAGGATGCTTTCGCTCCATTGCAAAATAGATCAGTTTTGGTGCCTAATTTCATCCGAATTTCACAGAAATACGAGCTCGCAGTCCTCTTCACGGATTCCAACCTTTTTTTTTTACATGGCCAACAAAATACTGTAATACTGGAGAATTTGAGGGCATGCAAATCATGTTTTTGCCAGGGTACGCAATATTGGGCATATTTACTGGCCTTCATCCTTAGGCCAAAAAAAAATAAGTCTCCGGTTTCTGGTATGGAGCTTGCCCAAAAAGTGGTGCGGCGACGCGGCTTGTTTTTCTTTTTACCTGTTTTTTTTGCTTCAAAATAATGTCGGCTGATGATTGCAAATGGTGCCCGACTAAACTTCGTGCAAATATATGGGAGTCCAGAGAGGCCACATAAAGCTTATTCTCGATCATAACCCCATCTAGAAACACGTTAAGATTGTGCAGCAGCAGGATTCCAGTCAAACCAGTGAGTTTGGTGGTTTGAGACATCATCTTTCATTGAAAAAAAAACTTTTTCATTTTGCCGACGCGCATGATTGGCTACGGCGACGCGCGCGCATATCAGAAACCGGAGACTTTTTTTTGGCCTTAGCTATGACTGGATACAAATGAAAAGTAGTTTTTATATATGTAGACGAAAGAGCATAGTTTGCCCTTCATTCTGATGCATCTCTTTTTCAAATGTCAATCAATGCAAACATTATTAACTTTTTTTTCTTCAAATAAACCACAAAGATAACTGACTATGTAGGTCTACAATACAATATTTAGTCGATTAAATCAAATATATGTGGACCACTTCTATTGATTTTCATTGTGCATGTTTGATTAAAATTGCCATTTTGCATTTGTTTATTTTTAAATTTATTTCATTTGTATCATGGTTTTGGTGAATTCTTTTTTGAGCAATACACTATAATAACCAGCATTTTTAACGAGGTCGAGCATTTCAAAGAAAGCTGGTATACGTATCGATTAAAACGCACCTCATCCATAGAAACTGTCCCGTGATTGTGGAAAGCGTGTCACTTGTGTGTGCCTTGGTTTGTTTTTGCATTCAAGAGGGGACGTTGAACAATAGAGGACAAAAGGGCCCACAATTCCCGAAGGTCCACGATTGACGATCGTGTACAAAACACATGGGAGGTCTTCCTAAAAAGTTGGGGTAAAAACAAAAGAGGGACAATAGGGGGTCCCCGATTAAAGGTGTTTGCACACTTATGTGTTCTTGTATGGCTTTACGTTGGAGGACAGACCTCAAAAAGGGAGAACAAATGATCGTTTCAGTCCTCGAGTGTTGGGTCTTTTGTTGAAAACGATCCTCGATCGTGCAATTGTGTTTAGTCTATGGGAGAGTGTTATATTACAGGGACAAAGGGAAACACAAAGCATTGTCCTCGAGCGTATAGAAGTGCACCACTGTGTGTGTGCGTTTGTTTATGGTGCAGATCGAGGACACACACGTGCAACATCATCGATGAATCGAGAACAGGAACCAAATCGAGAACTCCTCGGTTAGAAAACGTGTACAACACCAATGAGAGCTGTTACAAAAAAGTTAGAGTATAAACAAAGGAAAAGGGAAGAGCAACAATAGAAAATCCTCGATTTACACCATAAACAAACGGGTGTGAGTGTGTATGTGTGTGTTTTTTTGGTTTTTTTTTTACTATTTTGCCGAGAACTTTCCGAAGAGACGCAGCCGGCATGTTCTGAAAACTATAAGCAACAATGGACCAGTCGCAACCGAAGGCGAAAAACTCGTGCGGTCAACAAGAGCTACGTACTGAGCTAAAAACATTAACTAGCCAATGAAAGCACATACTCTGTTCACGCAGTGATTTCATGATTGTTTTGCAATTTCTTCTAAAGCCTGCTGGCGTTGGTCCCCATTTTTAAAATCATGCGACCGACAAACAAGGAAAATCTGGCCACAACTCAACCAGCTTGTCCTCTAAACTATAGTCGCCGACAAAGTCGCTGACACTTTCGATGGGGGCCGCCATCTTGAAATCACATGACCAGAGTATGTGCTTTCATTGGCTAGATAATTTTGTAGCTCAGCACATAGCTCAGGTTGACCCATAGAGCTATATTATATGACTTAAAGGGAAGATACAACATTTGCTAACATCAAAAAACGAAATGATCAAATTTATCATGAAATACCCAACTGGATTGTTAGGGAATGACAATCTAAAACATCCTGTAAAATTGTGGCTCCTGGTGTGCTAACATTTTCAAGAAAAATTGTATTTTGGTGGCTTATTTTCAATAACTGCTCCTATTTTTTTTCATATTTAGTTATTCCGCATTTTCTTTGAAATTGATTACACACATAATTATGAAGAGGTACAAGCCTGCCAGACTGATACCCTGATCTTACAAATACCCAAAGTCTACAAATTTCTCCGTTTCATCTTGAGTGGTGTCAGGGAACCAGACTACAAGAACATGATTGGTTTTCTTTGATTTTTCCAGCATCTACAAGCCCAAAATGTGAAAAAAATCCGTTTAACAATATTTGCTATATCATTCTAATCCTCCAAACCCATTTATTTATGAAAATTGTAGCAAAAGCAAAAGTTGTACATTCCCTTTAATATAGCTCTATGTGTTGACTGCACACGGGTGAGTTTTACGCCTCGCGAGGCGAAACAAATCAAACAGGTGAGATATTTCACCGTGTGTGGTCAACTGAGCTACGTGCTGAGCTACAAAATAACTAGCCAACGAAAGCACATACTCTGGTCACGTGATTTCAGGATGATGGCCATATCAAAAATGTCAGTTTAGGACAAGCTGATTGAGTTGTGGCCAGATTATCCTCGTTTGACCCTAAATTGACCGCACACTGTGATATTTTGTGTGCTACGTGCTGAGCAGACGGTCTCGAACGACTTTTATTTTGCTCAGCACGTATAGCTCTCGCGTTAGCCTTGACCAAGGCTATCAGCTTGTTCCCATACGAACTTGTTCCCGCTACCGCACACCGCGCGCGCCGCGACACAATCACTAGTTGTACTATACCGTTAGCCTCAACGACCCTTGCGTGTGCTTTGTGTGCATGTACGTACGCCCCACACACACTTCCGCAAACAGCCGTACGTACAGCAAGTCGAGGCGGAAGATAGCCTTGACGCAACCGTAGCGAATTCTTATGTGTTTCTTTATAGTTTCGACCGAAATCGGCCGAAAATTTCTGATGCGCATATATTACACGATATCCAATCAAAGCCCGTAAACTTTGACTCGCGATATACATATTCATGACCCGCAAATTACTGTATACACCACGTACATGTATGTTCACTCAAACCATGGTCCCATTTTAAACCATTTTTCCAGTTTTATTACAAACAAATAAAATATGCCGCTATATGAGTGAACAATTGTTCAAAATGATATCTTTCCAATGTATTGCGAATTGGACAGTTCAAGACCGTCCGCCGACATTTTGTCGGTGCAACAGCGTACATTATCACGCCGCTACCTGCCCGTGCTATTCTGCCGGACAGCGAATGTAGGGAATAGGTCAACTCGGACCCAGGTCAAATTGTACCCATTTAATCGAATGCAGGTTAACTCGTATCTATAAGCACCCGTATGAATTAAGTGCAAGAAACGAGCTATTGACTTTGGGATGGAAATATACGAAACTGTCAGGTACATGGTGAAAAAACAAACTCTCCCTGAATTCGTACCATGTGCAACATACATGTACATCTCATACGTACGACACATGTATTTTAACGCGTACGTATGAATCGTATGTCGTACCTACGACATACGTACGACATGTAAGTCGTAGATGTAAATCGTACGAGATACAAGTCGTTCTCACAAGATATGTTGTATGTAGGACATAATCGACAAACAAGTCGAACATACGAGTTACAATTCATATTTTGTACACACGAGATATTAAGTCGTACTTATATATACGACTTTGTCTTATGCGACATATATCGTACCCTGTCGACTCGACTTATGCACGACATATATGTCGTACCGGCACCTGTCGACATTATGTCATATGTTTGATATGTCATACCCTGTCGACATATATGTCGTAACCTGTCGATGATATTAGTCGTACCCTGTCGAAATATGTCGTACCCTGTCGATATATTAGTCGTACATACGACATATAACTTATAAGTTGTTCATACAAGTTAAAATAAGTCTTACAGAATAAATCTTAAAATTAATGTGGCCTGACGTTGCGAACTTAGCAAGTTCTTCTTCAGAGGCTAAAACTGTTTTAGCCTCTGAAGAAGAACTTGCTAAGTTCGCAACGTCAGGCCACATTAATTTTAAGATTTATATATTTCAGGTCCATCCAGTCAGTAAGCAGTTTGCAGCAGTTTTACTTTTTTTCATCTTACAGAATAAGTTTGCTGAAGGAGAGATACCCCTCCCCCCCAAAAAAAGTCAGCGGTAGATACATACTCAATAGTGTGAGCGCTTTTTTGGCCGCTGAACGTGAAAGCGCAGCGTGTCTCACTGCATGGCGCCAGCCGGGCCGGTGCCTACAGTGGACGGCCTCTGTCCATGGTGACATCGTTTTTGCCGGCGTGCGGTTTTGTACCGTTTGCCGTTTTTTGAAGGTCTAATTTTTCATCCTTTTCATTTCATTTTCGACCCAAACTATGTGTAACTTTATAAATATTATTCTACTATTATTTAAGATTTTAAGGGGGTGTTTTACAATAATTATTGTTACCACAGGCCGTCTGGTTTATAAACCTTTGGTCGTATTATGCAATTTAATAAATATTCATATTTTTGTCAGCCGTTATCCAATGAGAGAAGACTATTTACCATAGCGCGAACTAATTATCATATTCAGCCTACACGGTTGCGTCAAGGCTATCTCCTGCCTCGACTTACTGTACGGCTGTTTGCGGAAGTGAGTGTGGGGCGTACGTACATGCACACAAAGCACACGCAAGGGTCGTTGGGGCTAACGGTATAGTACAACATTGTGTTGCTGCGCGCGCCGTGTGCGGTAGCGGGAACAAGCTCATATGGGAACAAGCTGATAGCCTTGGTCAAGGCTACTCTCGCGTGCGACGGTTGAGGTAAACCTCCTGTAGGCTTGCAAGTTGATGTCATGTCGGTTGTGTTTGCACAACGATTTCAGGTGAACTTGCAATTCCCCCGCCACTTTGCCACTTTCCCATCCCCCTGTCGGTCCCCCCGTACGCCCAATACAAATGATAAACAGCCCTCACCCTGACGTTTAAAACTGATTTTTTTTTTGACGTAAATATTGACGTCAATATTCACGATTTGCGATGCCCCCTCAAAGTCACAATACATTCTAGTCTCACATTAACATATTGGCAAGTAGGACCTCAGCCTTTTCGACAAATCACATTTTGTCTATAGTTAGAGAACTCGTTCACTAGAATTGAGCAGTGTTGTTGAAATGGAATGTTTAATACATTATAGATGGAAAATGTGATATTGTTTTAAGACTTATTTAAACAACAGACTGTCTCATTGCCGGACACAATTAGGGAACTGATTAAGATTAAACATTTAATTGAGATCACACGATTCCCTTTACGTTATTTATTTATTTATTTATTTATTTATTTATTTTCTTCATTACAATCATGCAGTTAATAACAGTACGTTCATAATTCATGCAATTTTCTAGTTGCAGTAATGTTGAAATAAAATCTTCACGAACGTCCAGAGTCAGGGTTTGTTATTCCTTTTGTCCGCTTTAAATTTCACTGAAGTGTGCGATAGGAAGTGGATTTTACGGGCAAAATATTCTTCGTACCAAATTTTGAATAAGAAAGAAAAGTATATGAAACAGAGATCGAGTTTATAGTCAAACTGTCATTTTTGTCCTTTTTCTTTTTGGTACAATTATTTTGCCACGGTCTGCCCCTAGATTTCAGAGTTAATAAATCCATTATCTCCCATGAATGAATTATTACAGGAGCCATGACCCGAGTCTTTGTCGGCCACAATTCGCCTCATGGTGACACTCCGGTAAGACAGGGAGAAGACGGAGGCCTTCCTGCCGGTCATCTCCATGGCATCCATGGCCATAGTCCTCTCAATCTCTTCATCCTCGGAGGAGTGCTCCTCGAAGATCGGCTCCTGCGTTGGGTTGCTCTGCTTGCGCGTGAACAAACCACGGGCCTGCAGTACCTCGTCCATGGGTTCGGGAGTGCCCAGTGAGTAGCTGCGGTGCCTGCCGCCCCGGTTCTGCCAAAACCGCCGGGTTGTCTCCTGCGCCTGCTTGAGGCGGTCCTTCTGTGCCCGCCACACGCCTTTGAAGACGATGGAGATGACGCTTAAACCGATCAGGAAGTATGCCAGCATGCCGATCTTGTACAACCAATCCTGCGTGACCGTCATCAGTCGGTCCTCCATCCCGTAGACGATGTCGCCGAAGCCGATGGTGCTGAGGGAGACGAAGCTGAAGTACTGGGCGTCCACCAGCGACCAGGACTCGGTGTTGGCAAATATGACCGCGGGGATCATCACGAGAAAGATCCAGAGTACGAAAATGGTCACCAGCACGCCGAGGAGTTTCCGGGTGCGATGAGACTTCAAGCAAGCCACCGCCTTGTCGAAGAGCCTGAGCGAGTGTTGCCAAAGACTCTGGAAGGTATCCCCGACCACCGACAGCATCTTATAACACAGGGGAATGCCCAGAATGGCGTAGGCAATGCAGAAAACCTGACCGCCCACAGTTTTGGGTACCAACCTTCCATATCCTAAGTTTTGTAAAGAGATATACAAGAATATTTTCACAAATCTGCTTCAGAGTGTCCAGTTCTTTTTTTTTGCGATAAATACTTCAATGTAGCTTGAAGTAGGTCTTTATATAACACGTCTAATAAAACGAAATAAGGTGTTATGTAATAGGTCATAAACTAAAAGCAAAATGTGTTCATGAAAAATGAGGCAGTTAGCTGAACTGGAAACATTAATTAAAGCTATTTTGTAAACCAGGTGTAGGGCTATATGTCAAGCAAATTTTGATTTGATCATTCAATCAATTCAATAATTGAAGTTGATTTTTTTTACAAAAAATCATGCTCACTGTGAATTATGCATCTTTGTTTCACACAGTAGTCGTTCCTTTTTTTATCTTTCAAAATTAAAAACTGTCTCTAAATAAACCGTATATCGGAGTCAAAGAAAAATCGTGAATAAGCTCGGTAAATTGTACATTAATGTTCCAGTCTTCACTTTCGTGGTATAATCGATATGGTTTCAGCAAGGGAAGGCAAAAATAGTACTGAACACGAGAGACCAACTGTATCCCTAGCAGCCTGCCCTTTAGACAGATAGACAGTGGCGTAGCAAGGATTTTTTTTAGTGAGGGCCACAGAGGAGGCATCATAATGTCGAGGGGGCACATCGCAAACGTCCTATTGCAGTTTTCCCACTTGGGCCCCATGCCTCGCTATATCCATTGACATAAGACATTGTAAACAGTAAGCCTTTGGCTATGAAAAAATTAATACAACTTAATACAAACACTCTTTCTAGGTTGGAGAAGGAATGGGGGCACCCGGGGGGGGGGGGGGGGGCACGGAAAATTTGTGGGGGGCACGTGACCTCCTAGGCTACGCCACTGATGGACAAAAATCCTGACCTACGCGGATAGGGCATGCAGACTGCTCACTCCAAAACAAATACTTCTACCGCGTTGAATGAATATATTGACATGTAGCCTACGGTAAAATAGGGGGCTTATAACCCTGGTAACACCTTTCAACAACTGTTGGTGCAGTGTTTTCGCATCATCACTCACCCACGGTCGTGACAATGGTAGAGGCAAACACGATCGAATTGGACCAGCTCCAGAAGCTCAACAACTGCCCTCCCACCAACAAGGATGGTGTGTACACGCCCTTCGCCCTGGCCACGGCACGCTTGTTTAGTAAGGACAGCAGCTCGTCGCTCGACAGGCACTGGGAGTGATTGAGGACGAACGGCACAAGGAACCCGAAGAACTCTTCCCGAGCGGCCTCCGCGTTCCCCTGCTCCAATCGGAGGAATGCGTAGGCCCCAAGGAAGATGTAGAGAATGAACAGGGGCAGGAGGATCACAGACTTCACCCAGGGCTTCATCATGGTGGCCTTTTAACTAGAAAGCGTCTTGTCACTCAGGCAAGATTTTACAGTTTGGTGGCTGAGACGAGCACATATCGAGTGTGTAAATGACTTTTAAAAAATGGCGGATTCTTCACCTCAAATTTAGCCCATAGCTCTCAACCACGAGACCGCGAGATTTCTTATAAACATGCGGGTTTCTTTTCAAACGTTGTTCGTCACACACAGACAGTTTTATGAGGCGTATAAAGTCTTGATGGGCTATTTTTTTTAGGAGTCTATTTCCAATGAACTCGTGCGTGTCGAAAAGTGAAGGTCGGTAATTTTTGTTGAAATACCTTTGTTGTTTCCATCAATGCCGTTGGGTCTTTTGGTAATGTTCATTGAAATATTCTTGCAACAGTGTTAATCGACCCTATTCATATTAAAAAAATAAACAAACAACACTGTTTGATGCTTGTAGATTTCTCTCAAAAGAAGGCGATGATGATCGTTGTCTTGCTGAACAATACTACTACCGGTGATAGAGAACAAAAAACGAACATGACACAAAAATGACGGAGGACCTGTCATGGATGACAACACTGACACTTTACACGAAGACATTCCCGACCGTCCGGCTGCCCTTTAAAGTAACGCGATCAATTCCAACGCATACACCCAAGCGTTATCTGAATTCACTCTAAGATAAGCATTGAAAGACACTGATCACTTAACTTCGAAAGGTTGACCAGTTTTTGTGAAACGGTTATATTGTGCTTAAGAAAGTCTCTTGCGCTTTCTGCATATCTTGTAGTCTAAACGGATTTTTAAATCAAAATCCGCCCTCCTGTTGTGTATATGACTACTTTATATTCAAGGATTTCCCCTTGCCCGCACTTTTTGCGAGAAAGGGATAGTACTGCATTACACTTCAGCCAGCAAGTAAACTGGGTTTAATGGCCTCTGATACTGGTTATAATTTATAGACGGTTGAAGAATGATTTATAAAACGGTCAGAACAAGCATGAACGGATTGCGTGAGCATCAGTTTCATTCATGATGGTTAAAAGGCATGTGAGTGAGACCATGAACTCCTAAAGCGGTCTTTAGTTGGTTCTGTTTTTTACGAAAGATTGCACATTGGCAGAATAAACGATGACATTGTGAGGTTTTTCCCTTCAACGAAGATACAGTTCGACCGAGCGCGTTTGTAAGTGGCCGGCGACCTGTCAAACGAATCTTGCGTGTGAAAGGACCAGCCCCAACGATGAAACCTTGGAAGAAATGCTTGTTGCTCCTCACGGCCTTGTTTGTCTATCTGTCTGTTGGCGCCTTCGTCATGATCCGGATCGAGAACGATGCGACCAGCCGCGCCCAGACGGAATTCTTCGACAAGCTGGCTGTCTTCGTACAGGGCCACTACGCCTGCGGTGCGACCCCGGACCGAGTGCTAGCCTTACTAGAGAAGGCGGGTGTGGCTAGCTCCAGAGAGGCGTTCCATTCTGCCTTGGCAATTCCAGACAGCGAACTGGTCCCGGTGTGGTCCTGGCCGAACGCCATTCTTTTTGCCTCCAGTGTTGTGACCACTATAGGTGAGTGTTTTTTCTTCAAAAGCGTCCTCGTGGGTGGATAACTGCCGCCCCCCAAAAACTCCCAAATTTAGACCCATGGTGTCACTAACCCATGGTGTCACTAACATTGAATGCATTTATTAAGCACTCGGTTTAAATGATTTTTTTCGCATACTTGTCAATTGTTCACACAACAAGCAGGCTCGTATACACACAGTTTGTATCGTCTTCAAGTTATCCATACAGCTCCTTCAAGTCACAAAATAGGAACATTAATACGCGAAAACCAACGTTCCTTTCAACAGCCCTCCAATAGGCCAAGGCTGCATTGCCAATAATCCAACAAATCTATAAACCCATTTTCAAAGTGTTCATGTCATACACAATGACCAAATTTCGACAAGATTTGTAAATAACCAACTTCCTGAATCGTTACACAACCTTTTTTTCTTCAATTTAATAGATCGACATGATTAAAATTCTAGGTCCTCATCCAAATTACATATACCTCAAGTCAGAATGTCTCTTTCTCAACATGCATGTACCATTTCTTTCTCTGGACCAAAAAACTGGAACTATTTTTCACCGTCCATAACTAAATGCCCTTCAAGTAATACATTCAAAAGCTAAGAGCATTCCTAATTAATTTTCAGAATACCTGATTCATCAACACACAGTGAACATTTTCTAAACTTTGTAACCATATTTTTTTGGTATATAGGTTACGGGAGACAGGCACCCAAAACTCCCGGCGGGCAGATTTTCTGCCTCTTCTTTGCGATCCTGGGCATACCGTTGTGTTACGCCATGCTCTCCGTGGTTGGCGACACGTTCAACGAGCTCTGGAAGAAGTTCATCCGAGGCTCGGACAGGTGCTTCAAGGCCATCAGGTCCAAGAAAGCCCGTCGGGTACTGCTAGGTGTCCTGACCCTGACGGGGCTGTGGATGCTACTCGCCCTTCTTCCGTCCGTCATCTTCACCAAGACCGAACCCTGGGACTGGTGGCGGGCCCAGTACTTCTGCTTCGTCTCCCTCAGCACCATCGGCTTCGGGGACTTGATCTACGGCCAGGAAAGGGAAGGAGACTCTTACGTCTTGGACTGGAGCTACAAGATGGGCATCCTGGTCTACTTCTTCCTGGGCCTGAGCTTGATCTCCATCGTCTTTAAAGGGGTTTGGCACTCCCAGCGGAAGAACCTGCACCGGGCGCATGCCAGATTCCGCAGGACGCGCGGTCAGAAATGCCGCAGCTACACCCTGAGGCCCAGCCCGCCCAGCGCCGCAAGGCACATTCCCCCCGCGGAGTCTGCGATTTCGAACCTTGCTCGAAGCTATCACACGGAGTTTGGCCTGATGGATGCCTTTAGGAGAGACGCACAGGGACAGGGAGTGACTGGACTGTCGTACCGACTCACCGTTGAAGTGACACGTGATGGGGATTGTGACTCGGGCCATGGCTCCGTTAATATTTCCAACTCAGAGTTTGAAACGAAGATATGATCCTCGGAATGGGAAACAGTTTGCAAACTTATGATGTTCCGACAGTTTCTTTAACTTGTCTATTGGGAACTCTGCCCGTATAGTGTAGGATGGTAGCACTCAAATTACCACACAACAAAATTAGGGGGTTCGTGGGAGAAGCTCGTTATAAGGTGAAAAAAATTGGGCCGGTCAGAAAGTCAATAGAGCATGGAAATGTCTTTCATTTTGGTGAACATTTTTATCTCAATGGGATGCGCCATTCCCACGTCATTAATAGCATGAAAAAGACGGAAGGAGGTTTTTCATCATTTTCCCTGCTAAAAGGATGTTAGCATGTAATAATAATACTAACGTCACAAAACATGTTTCAAGTACGCTAACGGCCCATTGAAATGGGAGGTAATGGAGTTCAAGTTTATTCCTGGCAAAAGGAAATGCCATTTAAGGCAGACGGACCGATAAAAGGTCGCAAGCATAAAAAAATGTGATTAACTTCGAAATTAAGTAATACTTTGAAATAAAAATGTACAAGAATGTTTCAATTATAGACAACCTTCATGAGTCAAAATTTTAGCATTGTGTGATTTTTTATTTAAAAATGGGAGCCCAAAAACTTTAAAACACAATTAATGATCTCCAAACTTGAAAGTGTTTGTTTTACGTGCCTGGACTTCTAAAGTTATTTTCTTGACACACGAGCGCTCTTTTGGCAATGTTCTAGCGATTACATGATTGACTCCGGATACATTTTAAACACCATGAAAGTGATCAGTTGAATTCACGAACAATGCCCTGTCTTTCTTGGATGCGGCGGATCGGGGGAGGGGGGGGGCACTTGCCCCCCAGATTTACCTAAGTGCCCCTCTTGCCGACAGAAATGTCCGCACTTAACCCCCAGATTTACCCCAGTGCCCCTCTTGCCGACAATGTCCGTACTTGCCCGCCAGATTTACCCTAGTGCCCCTCGGGATAAAACAAAACTTGCCCTAAATGTCGGATAGTTTGCTATCAGCAAGTATTTTCTAAAATGGTATAGACAGTTTTGATGTAAACGAGGAATCTGAAAACCGATCCCCAAAACCCTTTAATACAATGCGCCCTGAAAATGGGCACATAATGCATAGTTTGCATAATTGCCAGTTTTGAAGAGCGGCCCCTAATTTGGAAGATGGGAACCAGCCCCCCCCCCCCCCCCCCCCCCCCCCCCCCCAGCTATTTGATTTTACGGAGGCCAAGTGTCCGGTGAAAAAAACGTGTCGAAATTTCAGCACGGATTTGCAAGTGCCCCTTTTTGGTAATCCCCCCAGTTTGAAAACCGTTCCGCCGCCGCTGTTTTAAACACGATAAAGTAATCAGTTGAATTCACGAACAATGTCTTGTCTTTCCATATATATATTCCATTTTTTTTTTTAGGTTTTAAACATCTTTGATTTGAATGGCTATCCAGATCAGTATCGAAACTGTCTCCATCAAACGTGAGACAAAAGGTGATCCCTGGTGATGTATAGAACCCGCAATTTGCGCAAACCCTGATTTTAAAACTATACAACAATGGTGTGGTAGTTTCGCTACATTTGCTGGTACATTTCCACTTGAGCGCGAGGCCGAGGTACTTTATCATTTTGGCCGTTATCAGAGGCGTCGCCGAGAAAATCCAAACCCGCTTATTTTCCTCAATTCATATTTTATAACTACGGAAGCATTAAAGGGACATAATACAAACTAAAAAAAAAAGAAATAAGTCATAATTATGACTTATATCTCATAATTATGACTCATTATTCAGTCATTGTTATGACTTATATCTAATAATAATGACTTAGTATTAATTGTTATATCATAATTATGACTTATATCTCATGATTTTGACTGATCATTAAGTCATATTTATGACTTATATGTTATAGTAATGACTTAGTATTAAGTCATATTTATGAGATATCCTAAGTCGTAATTATAAAATATAAGTCATAATTATGACTTAATAATAAGTCATAATTATGACTTATTTTTTATTTTAACGCTTCCGTATATAACACTTCTAGGGCGCTGTGTAAGGGATATAGAGCTCTGCACATGTAGACTTGTTTCGGGCCTGATTTCAACGAGATGTAGTTCAGGGGTTGAGATCTGGGACATAAAACAACATAGCTAAAACAAATCCCGGATGAATCGAGACTTTTTGAAGGGGGGGGGGGTTGGACCTTTAGTGTCTTCGTCTCAAAAGGAAAACTGATTAAAGTATAAAACCATCCCATTTTTTACGGCATAATTTCCCACAAGCAATGGCGTGATTTTTTCTCCTATGAGTTAGGATGATGGGCATTAAGTCGCGTACAAGCTGCCCATGTTCAGGCCTGATATCGAACTCAGATAACCTCCTCATTTTTGATGAAATAGGATATACAGATCCTCCCTTTTACCGTAAACTGGTGTGTAGGAAAATAACAAAATTTCGGGTATGATAAAGGGTGCAGGCTAGTCAATAGACCCTAAATTGCCTACACGGACCAAATCACGATTTGTATGCCCCCATTTTTTTCTGTTATTCAAAAAACTGGAGGGTTTGTAAAAAAAAAAAAAAAAAAAAGAAGGTCGGAAGCCGTGAATAGGACTGCGAGTTCTGAGTAAATTGGGCCCAAAACTGCGCTATTTTGCAATGGGGCGTAGGCATCATTTCTTCAAAATGGCGACCGGATTCAGGACTACTATTAGTGGTGATCATAATATTTGGATGAAAATTTCTCCCAGAAGTCACAGGTTAACCCTAAAAGGGCCGGGGGGCCCACCCCCTCAACTTTTTCCGCGATAGCCTTGAAAATTCTTTTGATACCAAAAACATAAAATTTGGATCACGGGTTGCCGCGCAGGAAATTTTTTTCGGCGCTAGGCGCCATAAAACTGAATTTCCCCATATACGTATAGTGTGCACAAAGCAGAATTACCATTTGTGCATATGAATAACTAATTAGCCATAATACCAAAACCCTTTGATCTATTGTCATTAAATGTCTTGGGTATGTTTATGATAAGTTGTTCTATGCATGTACCGAGTTTCATAATTTTTCGTCACTCGATGGCCGAGATCTTGGGGGGGGGGGCGGAATCCGCACCCGGCCGAGAGATGGTCAAAGTAACTTGGACCTTTTAGGGTTAAGCCCCCAAAAATTAAACAAAAAAAGAAAGATGATGAAATTAGCTATAATATGATGTGTGTCTCAAACGCCTTGGAGAGTTGTGGGTATTTTCCCTATTTTAATTGACACTGGAGTCCAAGGCAGCTAATATTTACAGGTCTACACCCTAATGATGACGGCAAAAAGAAATCTGTACACCTTTGGACGTGGTGTCGCTGTTCTCATTAAAAACCTGAAGAAAGAAAATAATCATTATCTTCACTTTTCATTCATTGCAGGCCATTCTATCATTTAAATTTTAAACCGGAATATATTCCTCTTGTGATACTTTTTTTGGGTAAAAAACACTTTATTCTGTTAAAAAGATTCCTGAAACCATCCATAGCCTTTTCAAGAAGATTCAAAATCAAAGAACACGTTCAACGACTATTTGTGCACTGAAACGTATGCGGGAATATAGAAAGAAGAGCGCCACCAATTTTTGTTTTCACTGAATCCTTTGTAATGTTTATAGTTTGCAGACCAGTAAATAAACTTCCATAGATCCCAATGGTAAATGCTCCCACTTCAGAAATTCGGGGAAAATACTCACAACTCTCCAAGGTGTTCGAGACACACATCAAATTAAAGCTTATTTCATCATCTTTTTTTTTTTTTGGAAGGGGGGCAACTGATGAACTGATGACTTTTAGGAGAAATTTCAATCGGAAGATGATCACCCCTGAAAATAGTCCTGAAGCCCATCGCCATGCCTACACTCCATTGCAAAATAGAGCGCTTTAAGGGCCCCAATTTCATCGGAACTACAAGCTCACAGGAACTACAAGCTCACGGAACTACAAGCTCACAGTCCTGTGCACGGCTTCCACCCATATTTTTTACAAACCCTCGAGCTCATGGCCCACAGCATGCTCAAATAATGAAGATTTTGAGGGCATGCAAATTGTGATTTGGCCGGCGTCAATTTCGGACCGATTTACTGGTCTGCAACCTTATGGATAATGGAACTAGTTCCGGGTCCCTCCACTGTTCATTGGATTTGAATGTTGGGAGAGGTAGTGGGCAATGGATCCTGAAACACGAGGGGCTGTTTTACTCCAAATGTATGCAAATTATATGCAGGACTAGACTGGTTCCCAGTCCCTCAATTGGACCCGTTGGATCCGCGCCTGCCGCTGGTTATGGTGAGAGTAGGTCTAAGGTTTTTTGCTATAGGCATGTGTTCAACCGTCATTCATGCGTTGTAAACATTGTAAACGTTGTAAACATCATACTTTTTCAAAGATAAAATTATTCAAAGATAAATCAATCAAAGATAAAAACAAATCAATCTATGCACACGCTCGGGTGATGGCGGGGGGGGGGGGGACTTCAATAAATTACTGTAAATGGAACTGGCTACCAGTCCATGGGGGGGGGGGGGGGGCGGAACCAGTCTCGGTACCATTATGGGGTGTTTGAGTGGTCGGCGTCAATATCCGACTCCCGGTATGGACTCGTTGGTAGTATTGCGAATGCCTAAGTATTATAATTAGGAGAGTAACTGGTCACGTGCGAGGGATTAACCAATAACATGGAAAAAGGAGTCCGATTTTCACAGGAATCGAATTTTCATATGACACCGGCCTTTGCACCTCATTTTGGCACAAGGGGGCGCGCTGTCTACTTACTTAAAGGGACGAGTAGCGCCGATTTAGAAACAGTTGTCTACATTCCTCTTCAGATTTAATATTTTAAATAAGGGGAAGAAGAAATGAAAGTTCGGAGCGGGGCAGTGGCCCCCCGCGCTGCCCCCCCCCCCGGTCCCCGGATGAAGCAGTGGGCCATAAATATACGGAAAACTTGAAAGCTGATTGTTGTTGACAGATCTGTGAGCTACTATATAAGAACGTCAACACAAGTAACACGATAACAACAAATCATTTCACTCTTTTAAGAACTTTATTTTTTTATCCCGGTGGTAAAGGAATTGTTCAAGCAAACCTTCAAAACGTGCATGTACATTTCTGAACTGATTAACTTTACATTTATATATTTTACGATGTACCTTCAGTGCCATATTAAACATAGTTAAAAACATATACCAGGATCACATGGTGATATATAAAAGACAACATATAAAAAAGCCTTCCGTCTTGGACTAGACTAAAAACACGCTAAAAATTACAAAAAAATCATTGTTCCTCTTTCAGATGTTACCGAATTCTATGACCTGGGCTTGGATCAACACCCTTCAATTTGTTGTCTCTTTAGGATAGGGTCTGAACCGACAACCTCATTTTTGCCAGCCTGGATTAACCCGTTCTGGTAAACCCAAAAATTGCGTTTTTAGTTATGATTCAGCCATGTAATAACACACCCCATCTGACTTGTGTGCGGGTTACAAAGACAAAGAATGGGCAACATGGGAAGGAAAAATGCACAGATCGTCAAATGCACGCTCAGTGAAGGGCAAAACGCCTTATTCGAATTCACATTCACCCATGCAACATTCCCAGCGATTCTTTTGTATGTTTCCAATCTTCCGTCTCCAGGAATAACTTCAAATCAGTTCTTGATTTGAAACAAACAATAACTAACATAATAGTGCATGTGTTTTATCTCCAATACTCTTTGGTATGTTATCTTACAATTTTTATTTGTTAATGTTCATTTATAAAATTCTTCGCTTTCCGTTACACACCCGTTTATCTTTACTACTTTATTCTTGTCATCGTAATCTTGCAATGTATGTTCACCAGCCAACTGCTGCTGCGATTGCTGCTGCTGCTGATCATGCAGTTGCACCAACCGCTTTGCCGCTATCCTGGCCTTCCATTTGTTCAGCTTGGTCTGTTGCGAGTCCAGGAATCCCTTGATGGCCACGGACAGGATGCTAAGACCGATGATGAGATAGGCCGCCGTGCCCAGCTTGTACAGCCAGCGTGAAAGAGGCGTCAGCTCCGGGCTCTGTGCCGGCACGAAATCTCCGAAGCCGATGGTGCTCAGCGAGATGAAGCAGAAGTACTGCGACTGGAAGAAGTCCCAGTTCTCCAGGTAACTGAAGACGATACCCGGTAGAGCGACGATCAGGACGTAAAGACAGATGCAGATAATGATGACTTCCACCGCAGTGCGGGTGGAACCGGGCTTGAGGTGCTTGGTGCACCGTTTGATCAGGCCGTGGCACGGTCGCCAACATCCCTGGAACGTATCACCCACCGCCGAGAGAAGCCAGTATGTCAGGGGGATCCCTACCAGAGCGTAGAACATGCACACAACTCGGCCCAGGGGGGTCTTAGGAGCCAAATTGCCGTAGCCTGTAAAAAAAAATTATAAAGAATTACAAAGAGTTGAATTGCGAGTAGGCCTACAACATTTGAATTACAAGTAATTATTTGTTGATGAGTTTTCTCTTCTATGATGAAAACCGATTCTTACGTGTTCACAATAAAGCAGACAGCAAATGTTTACCGCGTCAACCATTCTATGTCCAAAACATTCAATTTTGGTTTACTCAGATTAAACCAACCCAGTGCCCTCTCCTTCAAAAGTACGAACCCCGTATATTTGACTACCGTTACTCTTTTGAATGTAAAACATAACACGACAAGTTTGAAGCTGCACAACTAAACAGCTTTCTTTACACTAAAGGGTGAGTAAAAAAAAAAGAAACCCAAATGTCGGGACCACTGTTTTAGGTAGAGTTCTAAATGTAACACTTTCAAAATCTAGGATATAAAAGCCCAATTCATAAGCTTCCTTTCAGTGTAAGAATCATTCAAATCACTTATGTATTTTGTAAGTTACGGGATTTTAAACACAACCACCGTTTTAAAGGGAAAATACAACATTTGCAAACATCAAAAAATAAAACTACCGAATTATTTTGAAATACCTTGCTGGACTGTTAGTGAATGACAGTGTAAAGCATCCTGTAAAATCATGGCACCTGGTATACTGTCATTTTCAAGAAAAGTGGTATTTTTGTATCAATTTCCAACGCTGACCGGCCGATCAGCGTTGGAAACAACTGGCTTTTTTTCAAATACTGGCCCCAATTGACCATCGCACTTGTTTGCAATCGATTACAAACCTATGAACGGGTACGAGCAAGCTAGACTGGTTCCCTGACCTTACAATTCCCCAATGTATGTAAACTGCTCTGTTTCTTCTTATATGGAGTCAGGGAACCAGACTACAGGAAAATGATCGTTTTTCTTGGTTTTATAGCATTTTCGAACCCAAAACCTCAAAAAAGTCAGTGTAACTATATTTGCTATATATTTCCAACCCCCCAATTCCATCCATTTCTGAAAATTACAGCAAAAGCAAATGATGTATATTCCCTTTAATGTTCTGTCCACGGATCACAAAAAGGATGTGTGTGAATTGTTTTCGTTTTGCTGAAAGAACGCACACCTTTTTTGTGATCCGTGGACAGAACTTTAAAACGGTGGTCGTGTATAAAATTCCGTAACTTAAAAAGTACATAAGTGATTGGAATGATTCTTGTACTAAAAGAAAGCTTAGGAATTGGGCTTTCATATCCTAAATTTCGAAAGTGCTACATGCAGAACGTCACTAAAACGATAGTCCCGACATTTGGGTTTCGTTTTTGTTGACTCACCCTGCATGTACACGAAATTTCTCAGTGCTTCACTTTTCGTTTACAAATGGAGGTTGGTTTTGATTATTAAGCACCGGAATCCATGCATCATTCTTCTGCTTCCTGAACTTTCAACAATTACTTTCTATGTTATAAAGAGCAGAGAAGACGAAAACAACGGTGTCTTACCGATAGTTGTGACCACAGTGGTCGTAAAGAACACAGCACTGGGCATGTCCCAGACGACCAAGTCCTGATCGTTGGTCGGATCGCTGTCCAGCTTGAAGGCCCCGCTCAGGAGGGCTGTCTCCACCGCCCGGAAGAGCTCGCGTAGGTCTTCCTCCGAGACGCAGGTGTGGTTGTCCAAGAAGGCCTCCACCTCGTCCAAGAAGACCCGCTGGGCTGCTTCGTTGGCCCCTACCTCCAGGAACCGGAAGACCAGCGCCCCGAGGAACAGATAGAGGAAGAGCGCTAGGATGAGCACAAGAGATTTCTGCCAGAGCTTCATATCGTCACCGGGAATTAAAGTCCAAAATCTCCGAACATATACACGCAAAGGCGACAACCTACGAAACTTCAGAAGCAGCTCGTAGCCATTTTAATGTAGAAATATGCTGGTTGGAGTTTAGCACGGCTGTCTTCTGTCAAATCTCCCCACATAAGAGTCGGTTGGGAAAAAAATCCTCGAATTCGAACATGAGAAAACAGTTACATCGTCTTTTCACCTTGCTCACCGTTTCGGATAAAAAGAGCACTTTGAGCTATAAACAATATTGTACGGCCATCACTTTAAATTTATTTCTCCCTTACTTGTAAAAACAGAAAGAAAAAAACAGCAGGTGAGCAATTTGCTCTCTGGCAAAATACGGCATTACTTTTGTTGTAAAAAAAATCATCATGCGCAAGCAAGCAGAAATAATGGGTCTGCCTAATGGCAAAATGCTGTTTACTATATATACCCGCATTTTGTCTGAACAGACTTGCGCACATTTCCAAGCATTTGTCCTTGCGCATTGTGACGTGCGAAACAATGAGCGGGATAGAACATCAACCGAGATCACCTATTTAGTATTCATTTTATCCTTCACCATTATGAGCCACATTAAATTCTGTTTAGCAATCCCATCCCATTAGCAATTCTTATTCCTCCAACTTTTTTTTCTCTGGCACAAAACCCATCGTAAATTGAGCCATGTATAGTAAAAGACATCAATGCAAAATAAAAGTAAGAATAACTCTAAGATATTCCCTCTGCAGTGTTGTTATGGTTTGCAAAGTTACCTTGCAGCTTCAAAAATGGAGATTGTGAATTCATGCGGAATGCTGAAGTGGTGTGGTCGACGGTTCATTGACATCAAGTGAAACATTGTATTGCCGCGCACTGTTGTTCCATTGTATGTGATCTCTACATGTAATGAATGCCAACAGCCACGCAGTTGAAGAAATACGGCCCCCTTGCTTTCAGCGAAAATGTGAATTTTTTTTTTCATGAACAATAAATCCATGAACAATGTTGAATTTTCGATAATATAGTGGCCCTACGTTATTATCAATGGATCTAGGATGTCAGATTTAAGGCTTTGCGTGGTAATAACTACTGCTTAGAAGATATTTAGTTCTGAAAAGAACCTGTCCTGCTCATTGTCAACTTTCACTTAGTAGTTTTAGTTCTGATAAGAACAGTCCTGCTTTAAGTTCTAAAAGAACTTGTCTTTGGTCTCAACGTTTCGACTAGCCTGCTCTAGTCAACGTCAGGAGGGATGTCCTTTATTTCAAACGAGTTTTGGCTACGTATTCTCGCTAAAATATTAGTAATACCTGTCGAAATCGTTAAAGGGAATATGCAACATCTGCAAATATTAAATAATACAAATACCAAATTATTATGAAATACGTTACTGGACTGTTAGTGAATGACAGTCTAAAGCATCCTGTAAAATCATGGCACCTGGTGTGCTGTCATTTTCAAGAAAAGTCGTATTTTTGTATTAATTTCCAACGCTGGTTGGCCGACCAGCGTTGGAAAAAAAACTGGCTTTTAAAAAAAATACTGCCCCCAATTTACCATTGGTTAGTCCGCATTTTGTTTTTTGCTGTCGATTACACACGTATATGAACGGGTACAAGCCAGCTAGACTGGTTCCCTGACCTTACAATTCCCCGACGTCTATTAGTTGCTCCGTTTCATCTTAAGTGGGGTCAGGCAACCAGACTACAGGAACATAATTGATTTTCTTGGTTTTTCCAGCATCCACGAATACAAAACTGCAAACAAGTCAGTGTAACAATATTTGCTATAAAATACTAACCTTCCAAATCCATCCATTTCTGAAAATTACAGCAACAGCAAATGTTGTATATTTTCTTTTTAAGACGCTGGCATTTTCAAAAATAAAAGAATGTCTGGAAGTACATTTTTTTGCTGGACTTAGAATTGAATAGTGTCAAATAATTCTGATATTAAGTTTTGCATCCGAAAGTAAAATTTTAAAGGCACGTGAGATTTCAAAAGAACATTGGCGATTACCAGGAAACAAGCCTATTGACATAATGTGAACCTGTGTTGATTTAAAGGGTTCATGCATGCGATACATTTTTCATAGGAACACAATTTGTGCAATTTCTACTCCTTTTAAATGTATGACAACTATTAGACATCCCTTTTTGTTTAATTTTAGTGAAAAGAGCTCTTCTTTAAACATTAAAAAAATACATGCTTTTCCGGACAACTGAGGACGCTGTTGCTGTGATGTCATTTCAGTAAGACACTGTTCAGTTTAGGGTTTTTCTGTTTTGATTTGATTTGATTTATTCGCAATTTCCACAAAATTCTGATACAGATTAGTTACAATTTAACAGGAAAAATATCTTGAACTGTAAATTAAAAATTAAACATAGAGTCCCCCATTCAGTAGAAAAAGCAGGGATAACGCAAAAAAGTTTTGAAAACTTGTTTTCATCTGCTAATTGAAAACATTAGTTTGTGAAAAAGGTTTGCAGATTAGCTTACTGTCATGTATAGCCTAGGCCCTACTGACACAACAACGAATAGCTAAAGAAAAGAAATTTACAACCGCAAAATATCGAAAATTCTAGCAACTTCTATTGTGCTGAAGTATCCGTAGCATTGATATTTCTGATTTCTGCCTGGAATGACGTCAAAGTTTTGCTCATGAATGTGACCAAAAACCCTTGAAAATGGCAAAAAAATAATAATTTTTTTTAGACAATTAGAAAATAAGGATGAATAAATATGAGGACATAGTAACGATCCAAAACGGCTGCTAATTATACCCAAAAATTGTGCGCATTTACCTTGTTTCAAGATATCATCAAGTAGTCTTGCCAAACCTCAGTATTAATAAGCTTTAAATTCACCAAGTTGCTCACTGGCACAGTTACCCTATTCAAACCTTACGGTAAATCATGTGAACAGTGATAACATAGTGATATTTAGCCCAGCAAACAAACAAAAACGGGGAAACGAGGTGTCTGTTACTTAGTGAAGGGTTGCCTAACGTGAGAGATTTGAAAAAAGTTCAAGGAATCCCCAAAACTATTGAAGAGAAACTTAATGGAAAGAAAACATTTTGACATTGACATAATTATTGCAAGCAATGATTTTTTTTTGGGGGGGGGGGGATTTCTTTGACTTATTCAAGTCTCCCTTTCATTCAAGCGAACCTTTGCTTAATTCTAGTCAAATTTACGGCCAGCCAGATCAGTTTTCCTCTTTTTTGTTTTCGGAGCTAAATATCACAATGTTATCCGTGTTCACATGATATTCCATAAGGTTCTAATATGGTAACTGCGCCAGTGAGCAACTTAGTGAATTTGAAGCTCATCAATACTGAGGTTTGGCAAAACTACTTGATGATATCTGGAGAAAAGGTAAATGCGCGCAATTTTTTGGGTGTAATAGTAGCCATTTTGGATCGTTACTATGTCCTCATAATTATTCAGTCACTTATTTAATTCAGAAAATGTTATCTAAGTAAGGGTGTGTTAGTAGATTCACCAAAAATAAACTGAAAAAAAAGACTTTAAAAAAAATAAAAAAATAAAGAATATACCTAACTATGGGAATAAAAATATAACACGGCAGGGATAAACAATTTATGCAAATTAGGTATGTTTTGGTCAAAATTAAGGGTGGCATCGACCTACATTTTCTTCTCCATCCTTTGACTGATTGATCTGACATGGTTGCCTGCTATTACCACAAAATGCCGTCCAAAATGTAATATTCCACTTTGGCTGGTCCACTATCAATAATCATAAACACCTGTATAATTTAAACAGTTGGACTGGTGCCCTTAAGGTGAATCACGTTACGGGGAAAGAAAAGTTTGCTTCTGCTACAGAAACTTTCAGATAATCGAATCTTCAACCAAACCGAATTGCTGGCTGCATATGCGGTGTTGAACAATAATGCTAAAGCTTACCAAACTTCCACTGAGAAAGTGTATCATCGCTGAGACACTACTGTAATAAATCCATTCCGAATAGAGTATGCCATACAGGGATACAATCATTTACGTTTTGGAGCGGTCCTTTTATGTCCTTGCAGTCCATATTGCTCACCAACTTAGATATCGCCTTCACACGGATCCCCATCCCTCATGGATTTCGGAACGTACTTCCTCAAATACCGACAAGATTCCAACTCTGATAGGTCTAGAGGTTCCACGCTGATGCCCGCTAATGCTGCCGCCTCGGGCACGTCCTGGTAGTACCGAATAAGCTCCGCCGTAGAGGGATCTTCCTGCCGTACTCTGTTACCGCGGAGCGCCAGGGAGCTCCTCTCTCTGGAACGCTCGGCCGCGTTGGTCGGAACACCGTACGAGGGCCTCCTGCTTGGATTGAAGTTGGAGACTGCAACCAGATCTGAGTCCAGCGCTACCCCGCTCGACATCATCACCCCGCCTCCTGCTTCTGCCTGATCCAAAAATACATTGCTCATGTACGGAGCAAGTCCAGTCCCAGCACGGCGGGTCTTCCCGTGTACGGCAGCCGAGATGTTGATTAATGGGGCACTTCCCTCAATTGAGACTTTCCGAGCGGCTTTCTGGAGGGCCTCTTGCGATGGAGCCGGACCTAGGAGGACACAACCGTGTTGGGAACCGGTTGACGTCTTGCGGAGGGACAGTGAGTTTTTGCGTGATTGCAAAACTCCGGACTGGCCTCGGGGACTCGTTTGAGTATTGGAGGAAGCCGACGATTCATGGTTGTCTCGTTTTGTGGCTAAGGTCGTTCCTGACTCGTGTTTGACTGCGGGGTCTACTCGACTGTTCATGTTCTTTCTATTGTCGGGATCTGGAATGCGAGGACTTAGAAAGCCAGATTGCATCTCTTGATTTTCCAGATTCTCCTCATTTTCTGATTTCGATTCGTCATTCAATACTTTCTCTTCACCACATGGAGATGACCAACTGGTTTCTTCGACGTTTTGTCTGAGATTGGACTCTTCGTCCGTCAAAACCTCGTGAGAAAACCTTCCTTTATTCCCATATTGCTCCGACGGAATACTTGATTGACGAGTGGAAGACGTGTCTGTCACTGTTTGTTCTGACAATGGTGAGTTCATGGAAGTCTCAATGAACTGCGCCAGCTCTTTACTTTCGTTGCCAGGATGATCACGAAGTGTCAACGTCCGTAACAGTGGCTGCTGATTGATCTCCATCCCGCGTTTGATATTCCGTGGGATATGTGAAAGTTCGTACTCTACAGTCGGATGTTCATCCCTTCTTCTTCCCGTGTAACTGTGCAAACTGCGAAAGTAATTCATGCCCTCTAAAGTTGATATTGGAGGGAGACTGTCGGCCGAGGAAGTACTTCTACGGTAGTGGCTAGATCTCGGTGTTTTCTTGGTCGTGTTCTCCTTGATCATCAGCGAGACGGACTCATGTTTCCAAGAAGGTAGACGTTCGCAAGA